TGTATAACTCATTCTCGCAGTACAAGAAATAAAAAAGGAATAACCTACCTCCTAGACCCCCATTACCATGTCGCAAACCTCGATAAGATAAGGAGTATACATGACTCAATGAATCTCGAGTAAATGTATTAATGACCATTTAAGATCAGAAGAACGTGAAGTGGTTGAATCCTTTGAAGTCGAATACTAGAAACAAGATTAATAGTATCATTTCCATCATAGTTGTGGGCACACTACTAAAGCCTATAAGCAGCTCAAAAATAAAATTGGGAGGCTTATCTTCCAAGGTTACCTTCAACGGTTTATTTGAGATCCACCCGCTCGAGAAGAATCTTGTCCCACTAGGGGGCAAAATCAACAACAATAAATATAATCGTTAAATTATCATCAAATAGTTTATGAGATTGAAACCATAACATGAGGCCCCTTATTGCCCAATCAAGTCTTATTAGTTGTAGATGACAAGCCAACACCTAATAATTCTCGTATCGATCATTCTATTATTTTTGATAATTCTGATTTGTAGGGGATAAAAATCTCTCATCAATATCCACTTGTGATTAATATATGGATAGTTGACTCGTATTATAACATCAAAAGGAATATGTTGGATAATGTGAGTTTCATTAATATCTTATTATATTCTACTTTTCTTAATATGGGACTTACAAAAAAAAAAGCTTCAACCTTCCGCAGGTCCACTATATGGGTTTGATAATCAACATGTATGAGTGGAAGGGATAATCAGTCTCCCAGTTATACTTGAAGAATTTCCTCAATAGACTGCACACTCCATCCAGTTCATTATAGTAAAGTCAGAATCAACTTACAATGTTATCTTTGGAAGACCACTCTAATTTATCTTTGAGATTTTTGCCTCCTTCCCTCGCCTTAAAATAAAGTTTCTAATCCAGTGGGAGTTAGTGTTGTATATGGAGATCAATAAGTAGCAAAATCCGGTTATCTTAGGCAAGTTTAATCAAGTCTATTAGTTACCCTGATTATCAAGGATTTTGATCTTTGAAACAACGATATCCCTTAGAGGGCTTCTCCTGTAGAATACCTCACTATTGTATCCATATCAGAACCCTTTCAAGAACTGTGTAGATCGGGTCTCTTCTCTCAGACAAATAATATATATATTTTCTATGTAAAAATAAAGATGTTTTTGCATGGAGTTCAGCCGATATGCCCGAAATCGACACTGAAGTAATCATGCTCTCTCTCTCAAAGTCAACCCAACGTGCAAGCCAGTAATTTAGAAGAAATAAAATTTTGCACTAGATCGCCAACAAGCAATCGAGCAGGAAATTGATAAGCTTCTGGAGGTTGGATTTATAAGGAAAGTTCACTATCCTACCTGGTTGGCAAATATTATCATAGTGCGAAAAGCTAGTGGAGTGTGGAGAATGTGCATGGACTATGCATATCTTAATAAAGCTTATCATAATGATAGTTTTCACATTTATTGTTTGGACCAGTTAGTCCATACCACCTCCTGACATCATATTCTAAGCTTTATGGATGCCTACTCTAATCAAATAAAAATGAATCATGCGGATGTGGAGGTAACACTTTTTTGGATAGATAAGGGGTTATATTATTATCTGGTCATGTTATTCGGGCTCAAAAATGCCAAAGTAACATATCAACTCCTTATAAATAAGATTTTTAATGACCTTATCGTGCGTACTATGGAAGTATATATTGATGACTTATTGGTGAAAAACCTTAAAAATCTCAACATATATCAGACTTGAAACAATGATTTCACCTGCTACGACGTTATAACATGTGACTCAATTCCACCAAGTATATTTTTGGAGTATCTTCAAAAAAGTTCTTAGGGTTCATGGTAATCCACTGAGGGATTGAAGCTAATATTGAGAAAATAAAGGTACTAACATATATAATGCCCCCGATAAATATCAAGGAAGTCCAAAGACTAAATAGAAAAATTACAGTGCTGTCTTATTTCCTGACTCGCTTAGGAGAAAAATATCCGCCTTTCTTCAAGATACTCAGAGGTGTTCGTAGCTCAGGATTTCAATGGAATGATGAATGCCAATAAGCTTTCGAACAGCTACGAAAGTATTTAACATCTCCATTGCTACTTTCTAAACCAATACCTTGATAAAAGTTATATTTATACTTGGTTGTTTCTGCCAATGTTATTATTTTAGTTTTGGATTGAGGTGAGAATGTTGTACAACATCTCATCTATTATGTCAGTAAAATCTTATATGAAACAAATGGATATTATCCACTAGCGGATAAAATAACTTTGGCGTTAGTTTACTCTGCTAGGAAATTATTCCCTTACTTCAAGCCCATACAATTGGAGTCTACATAAATCAACTGTTGAGAAGTATCCTGTGAAAGCTAGAAGCGTCTAGCAAACTAATAAAGTTGTATGTGGAATTGGGAGTGTTTGACATCCACTATTCGCTTAGACTCTATATCAAATCTCAGACACTTATAAATTTTGTAATTGAATGCATCATCACCATATATCTGATGAGCCACCAAGTGCTTCTCTTTCTTCTTAGTGCTGAATGTTATATGTTGATGGAGCTTCTGAAAGTTCTAGCAATTGTTTGTGTTGAAAGCTTTTAAAGTGTTTGAAAATGTTAGTCTTTTTTGGGAAAAGTTAATTTTTTGAATTTCAATATCAAAATCGAATGTGTCATTATGAATGATATATTGTCCCAGGAAACAAGGATATCATTCCCTAAAGGATTCAGATAATGAAGCTAAAAATTTTATCTTAGATGCAATTGTCAAATCCCATGAAGAACTATGTCTAACATCGAAGGGTCAAAATGACATTCTACTTGTATTTAAATATTATAATATGGATGGAAAATCATTAATTTTATATTCATAGTCTTGATAAGAAATGATATGTCTTCCAAATGGAATAAAATATCATTTGCTAATCGAACGTCTGAATATGACGATAATGATCGTCGTTGATTTCAATTATCAAGGAGGTCGAATTCTCTACAAATACTCTCAATTAGAATAACGACAAAATTTGTATTTTTTTAGAATTTTTAAGGTTTGATATCAAATAAAGTGAGGTTAGAAATTTAATAGGGATGTGATCAAAATTTGAGCACTTGTTTTTGGAGGTCAAGAGAAAAGAAGTAGGAGTGTTTTGGGATTCTAAAACACTTCAGAAAATATCCTGGCTTATCCTATTTATTGGGCTTTAAGTTTAGGATTGAGATAATTTTTTTACTTTGAGTTGATCAATTTATTAGAAATTTGGGATTCGATTCTCAGAGGTTGGGGTCTTAAAATTTTGGGTCTGCCGCATATTTTAAATCTATTTTGGGCATTAAAAGATAGTAACCCGAACCTAGCTAATGTAGTGCAAAATCTAGACTCACCATGGCCTCAATTAGGGAGCTAGCTAGCCACCTAGACGATTTAAAATTCATGAGTATGGTCCTTATATGAAAGAGTGATAGGGATGTTGCTAATTAAAGTTTTTGAGGAGTTGGGGCCGATATCTAGAGCGAATCTTAATTAGCCCCTTGACTTATGTAGGGTGAAATGCTTTGAAAATGCAATTAAAATTTTACACTTTTAAATTTATTTCTAATGCAATGCATGCTGATTGACTCGATGAAATGTATAAATTTGTATGAAGTAGTTTTAAAAAGGCTTAATATATATATTTTATCCTAAAGATTGCACAATATCTCTTTGACAGGATTGTACTCTAATAGGCCGGGTGATATGCTAGAATCCGCAAGCGAGGAGGTGCCTAACAAAGAGGAGAAGTAATTAATGTGCATAAATGAGAACTCATGGCGGTCTCAGGCTTATTTCTTAGATCATTAGAGCTTTTATGTTAGCCTATAAATTTTATTTAATTCTAAGTAGAAAAATATTTTAACGTTCCCTCGCAAGCCTCGGATCGTATCCAGGCTTAAACAAATCGACATATAAGAAATAAACCTAGAAAAGCAGGCTGGTTATACTGCACAATCAAAGTAAATAAATAAATCAATTAAATTAAATAAATCAAATGTAAAATACATGTGACAAGTGTCATTTAATTTACAACCTAGGGTCTGTAGAAATCAAAAGTGATTGGATACCACTAACAACTCGGATTCAAATCCTAAGACTGACGCAAATGACTTTGAGTGATATATTTTTTATCTTCACTTATTCTTTCTCCTATGAGTTCCTTGGATTCTTTAGGTTCGGATATATATAATATAAAGTTTTCACATCGTAAAATTTAATATGTTGTTGCATGATTTATTCTGAAAGTTTTGATTACAAAAAATCAGATTTTTATCGGTCATTTTTTTTATACTCAATTTTTCTGAGTATATGATTAGATTAAGATTTTTTCAGACGAAAGTAATTATTTTATAAACGTCTTAGAATGTTTATATTAATATTTATCTGAAGTGAAAAATTGAACATGTTTAGTAGGTAGTATGTTATACATACAATATGAATCTTACTTACAATTTGTACATTTTGTGAGTATTATATTGAAGTCATGATTTAATTACCATTGCAGTTGCATTTATGCAGAGCATAGTATGACATTGAATATTTTCTAACCTCGAAAAATACACTATTTGATATATGAAAAGCCTTATATATATATTTGGCCCCATTCTAATAGTATAGATATGAGAGGAATTTTGTCCCTGCTTGCTAAAAATATGTGCGGGAGGTTTTGACGCTTTTATTTGGTTCGGTTGACCGGATGCAAGAAACATCCGGTCCTAGACAAAAAAACGTCTGTACCGAGGTGTACCGAGTTTTTTCGAAAAAACTACGTACATGTATTTTTTTGACTAGGATCGAATATTTCTCTGCATCCAATTGGAAGACGTAATAACGGCTCGAGGTTTTGTGATATTATTTTGCTCTAATTTTGACCGCACTTGATATATACAAATGTGAAAGATTAAATAAAGGCATAACTATTTGATTTATTTGACTGACGAGATCGTCAAACATCTCTTTTTCAAAGGCGGGTCCAAATTCAGAATATCACCCTACGCGTTGAGGAGAGCGCTCGACAGCGTTCGCCTCGTTAACTCCGCGCATCCCTGCTCAAAACCTCTCTCTCTCTACAAGCCTGCGGTTGGCATTCTCGGTCGAAATTGAAGGCTGCAATTGCGGAATGGCGGCGATTTCGAGCATTGGGACGGCGTCTTACTGGGGCGAGCGCCGGAGCCGGGTTCCGGATGCGAAGTTGGCAACGGGGATCTCGAAGGTAGCGGCTGTTGGCTGGAGTAATTTTCTTAGGTTTTTGTGGCCTCCTGAGGTGGACCGCTTATTTGTTTTCTGGATTTTTATTCTAGTACTTTGTTTTCCGATTGCGGAAGATTCGGCAATTGCATTGCATCTCAATAAGTTCTTATGCCATCTCTATTGCGCATTGCAATCCAGATCGGAGATCTTTGAACCCGCAGTTTAGTCAAGTTTTTTGTTTTCCTTTATTAATCTTGTTTATTCTGTGAAATTCGGCAATTGGTTAATGTATTTGTTGATAGTTTAGAGACTAAAGAAGGTGCATCTAATAGAGGTTCTTAGAAAGATGGCAGTAGCGAGAAATAGTAGCAGATATGTCTCAACAAATTTCACTTGTTGGGCACGAATCTAGATACATTATTTAGTATAAAGATACACTGAATTAAATTCAGGATCATCCGAATTCTAATATTTGCAAACTCTAGTCGAATTGAACGTCTCCATAAGATGCAACCGATGGCACCACAAGTGATCTGATCTCGGTCAAACGAAGATGACGGCAAGCCATCGGTGTTGCTGGACACTGTCGCCTTACTTTTGTAGCATGGACACCGTCGCCCAACTGTTATTGTCTAAGTGTCGCTTTGGATCAGTGGCTATCAACCTATCTTAGTCCATTAATTATCATTTGATCCCCCTCGTCCGATCGCCGTTGCTTGACCATTGCTGCTCAACAAAAATTGCCTGAACAAAATTGACTGACTGTCATCAGCATTTCTCCACTACTTCTTCTACGACTACAAGAGACCAAACAGTGCGTCTAATCTTGTAACACCATCTTATTCAGTTATGGAAAAAAATGGACATTTGTAACTTCAATAAATGATGAATTCTTTCAATTAGCTCAGACACCATAGTTCTTCATGTTCCTAATTTTCCAAAAAAAAAAACTCAGGTCTCCCATATTCTTCTTTTTTTTTGTATGTATATGCTAGATCTTCATGTAAAGTTAGGACGCAAAACTCTCTAAATTGTCTATAATTTTCTAGCACGCAACATAACCAATATAGATGTTGTAGCTTATTATGTTTGTTGTACTTATTTTTTGAAGGGTTTGCTAGAGTTTAATTCTACATTTCCTTTGAATGAAGCTTTTGAAAGTGCTTGGTAGCAATGTGCCTTCCAAAGTCACTTTTGAAAATTCTTGTTTAATTGCAAGTGCATCAAATCTATGTTGATATGATTTAAAAGGTCAACAATAAAAAATAAATATTTTATGTTAAAAAAAACTTTTTCTATGCTTGTTTATCAACGCAAAGAAGAATAATATGGGCTGAGGCATGCATATAATTTTATTCTATTACGTGATAATTGTTTTTCTTCAACAAATTATTTTAGCATATAGGATAGTATTGAGTGACCTTCCGAATGATAATTTTAGAAGTTTGAACTAATTTCAGAAAGCTAGAAATAAACTTAAATGAAACAATTGTTGGAAATGCGTTAATACTATAGACAGGTGATAATGTTCTTGATTAACTATAGTATTTGTAGAGGGTACTATTGTTGAATTATTACTAAAACCCAAAACTCACACAATATGTTCAATGTGTACTACTAAGCATAAAGTAATAAGGATTGCTACTGAGTTCGACTTCTTAGTCATTGAAACGTTTGAAAAATCAAGAGCAGAAGTAATGTTATTCAATATAAAAAAATAAATTAATTAATAAACAATGCAGTTAAATAACACTAAGCTTAATAAATCATATTAACTCAATTATCAACAAACTATATTATTGGTTTGCTTATGAGTCTTGTGACTCCTCAAAAAAGACCTTACCAACCAATTTATCTGTTAATGTTGAAATGAGAGATGGAAGTAAGCACTAAATGAGGACAAACCATAAATAATACAAAATAAAATCGTTATGATGTGGACGACCTTCCCAACCAATTTTACTAATTGTGTATATATAAATTTTTGTAATCATGAACTGGAATATAATGAAAAATGAAATATTACTCAAGTCTGAAGACATGAATTGCTAAGTTGTTACTTGTCTTACAAATACCAAACTTATGGTTCTTTTACAATGCTCGACTTGGGTCCATAGCCCAGTTTTTGGTGCATTACACATAATGAATAAGTGTTACGGGGCCGGCCTAGGAGGGGCCGGCTGAATCAATCCAACATGGACCGGTTCATGTGTACACCCGATGGCCCAGCATGGGGCGGAAACAGGGAGGGGCCGGAAGCTTCAATGGGGCCCACTTGCTATTTTAAACAGTGTTTAGGAGGGAGATTTTGAATTAGGGGCTGTTTAGTTTCATTTTGCTTTAATTAGTCATGAGGAGGTTAGGGTTAGGGTTATCTTGAGATTTGCTGAAATTTTGAGGTCTAGGGTTTGTTTTGGGGCTCTAAGTTTTGCTAGAGATTGTGGAGAGTTTTCGTTCCTCTCGAATTGAAGGAAATTGTATCTTGCTTGGTTTTTCTTGTTGTTATTTGAATCAAAGAATTCCCTTGGTGTTTCTTCTTCAATCTACAAAAGTTCTTGCATTGTTCTTGCTTATTTCTCCTTGAAATCTCACTGTTTTTGCCGATTCTTGATTGGTTTGCTTGTGAACTCAAGTATTACACTTGTGGTTACTTGCTTGTTATTTGAATTAAAGAGTTTCTTTAGTGTTTTTCTTCTCTAATCTACAAAGGTTTTGGCGTTATTCTTGCTGATTTCTCCTCGAAATCAGCCCTCTTGCTCACTATTTTTGCCGATTCTTGATTGGTTTGCTTGCGAACTCAAGTATTACCCTTGTGGTTACTTGTGAACTCAAGTACTTCCTATCAATAAGCTAGTGCAAATCCCACAAGATATATGCAAGATGAATGCCTTCGAATTTAACATAATTGGTAAAGAGAATGTGCTTGAATTGTAATAAGTTTTGACTCTTTGTAATCTCTATTACTCAAATTTGAATATAGAGCCCTAAAAATTCTTCTAGTTCCAATTGAAAAACACATGTGGCCCTATCTACCACCTAGGTATCACCAATCCTCACAATTTAGGAATCATCAAATATATTTAATACCCTTCAATGAACAGCAAGCAATCTTCCACATTGATTTTAGGTATATATATATCAACAAATAGACTCTCAACTTAAAACTTCAACAAGAAATATAAGTCTATATTATTTGCCTGAGCACATATAGTTTTCAAATAGGAGCCCACTTGTATTGCTTTAACCATTCCAAGGAAGAAGAAATGTTTCATTTCAAGTGCAATATCAAATCATAATTGATAGATTCATTCATTCCAATATAGTATAACTTGCAAAAGGCTCCATTCAATAAATGGATTCCCTTCTAATTTAAACAAATTGAAGACATTTAATGAACGTCATAGTAGCTTGTTATTGGCCATCCTGTATTGCTGCTTGCTGATGTAAATTGTTTCTGGTTTAGCGAAGTAGACTGAGATCACTAATAATGCTTACTATGAATAAAAATCAAATTAAAACTTCAACAAGAAATATAAGTCTATATTATTTGCCTGAGCACATATAGTTTTCAAATAGGAGCCCACTTGTATTGCTTTAACCATTCCAAGGAAGAAGAAATGTTTCATTTCAAGTGCAATATCAAATCATAATTGATAGATTCATTCATTCCAATATAGTATAACTTGCAAAAGGCTCCATTCAATAAATGGATTCCCTTCTAATTTAAACAAATTTAAGACATTTAATGAACGTCATAGTAGCTTGTTATTGGCCATCCTGTATTGCTGCTTGCTGATGTAAATGGTTTCTGGTTTAGCGAAGTAGACTGAGATCACTAATAATACTATCTATGAATAAAATCAAATAATCTAGAGGGATCAATGAATATTACAAATGTCTTGAATGCAAATATTTAACTTTGAGGTTAATTTTGATGCATTTACTTTTGAGGGCTGATTTATGGTATGCTGCTGATGCTCTCTTGAATGTGTTTAACTTGTTTAGATTGCAGGTCGTTACGTTGGCCAAAGAATTGCGAGTGGCTCTAAAAGAAAAGGTTCTGCAGTGCATCATCGTTTTTGCATTCAAATGTCATTAGTAGATGACAGAGTTTTTCATCAAAATGCTGCTGAAAAATCTGCAGTTTTGGTAATCATTACTTTCATTGATTAACTTACTTTTGTCCTTTTAACATCGTTGATCGGCTGTGGAGGATGGAATCTGTAATTGGAGCAAATGGTAACTTCCACTTATGGACTGAAATTTGGAGAACCACTACTATGAAAACAATTTAATCTGCTATGATTTGGCACTTCGTTGCTCCCGATGTTTGGTTGCGCAAAACTTGGAAGACTCTTACCACCCTATTAATGCTACCCATAAAAGTATGTTTTTTTGTTTGCATATACAAGCGCATGTATGAGATATAATTTTCTCTTAGGAGGAGAGTGATCATTCTCCTAATTATAATTTTGTCTTTACTTCTTTATACTATCTTGAAACTCAAGATCATCTCATTATATTTCATCTATGGGATAAAAAACATTTATGAATTGAGTTTCATGAATTTTCATAACAATTTAATCACTCATCTATATACAAAAAAGAATGATTGAATAACATATAGAAGCCTACTGAAAATCAAGCTTGTCCAATTATTCATCAATCCAAACCATCATACATCTAAACATCTCACTAACATTTACATAATTCCCTGCTATTGGAAGATTATGGATAAAAATTTGCAATTACCTTCTCTTGCAATCATAAACATCACTAAAGAATTTATGGTGCATCATACTAAAGATCAGATGATCATAAGAGTTTTGAATATCCTTCTTGGCTCTAATTTTAATATATATAAACACAAAGGAATTCATTTTCTTTAACACCATTAAAACTAGTAGCCTGTTGATCATCAATCAAATGCATCAAATTTCCTCTATTGATGGCTTTGACTTCATGCAAAGATAATTGTGATTGCAAAGTATAGAGACTTCTAAATGTCTTAGAAGGTCATGTATAACACAAAAGAAATTATTTTCTTTAACATTATTAAAACTAGTAGCATGTTGATCATCAATCAAATACATCAAATTTCTTCTATTGATTGCTTCGATTTCATGCAAAGATAATTGTGATTGCAAAGTGTAGAGACTTCTAAATGCCTTGGAATCAGACACGGGGGTCTTTCATATGCTGTCCAGTCATCCTTGTATTTTTCACAAATCTTATGAATGAAAAATTATCATGAAATTTGATGAAACTTAATCCTCATCTAGTTTTTATGCTTTAGATCACAATTAATGTTGTGATATTGAATTTAGTGATTATATGAAGTGATAGATGAGAAAATAAAATGGGAAGGAAAAAAGATGAGTATCTGTATATCTATGATTTTTATTGTTGAAGCTCTGCAATGAAAGGGACGCCAATGACTTGATTTATTGTATAGGAAATATGGAAATAGTTGGTAAATTAAGCATTAGAAAATTGTGTGTCCATAGGAAATGATGCCAAAAATGTTATTTTTGTTATTTGAGTGATTCTCGAAAATCAAAGTGGTTTTCTGATGCAACAAGAAAATATTGGAAATACACAAATCTTCCTTTCTTACGACATAGATAAATATAAACACTAAGATTGCAAATTATGAGGCACAACTTCAACTACAAATGACAAACATAAACCATAAGACATATATATTTTAGAGAAGAAGGATACATGTGGAGTGGAAATTGTGGATAGAGAAGAAGGGATTAAAAGACCGATATGAAGTTTAAGAGGAGAAGGGGAAATAAGACCATTGCTCACAAGCTATGTAAACCCGCAGGTTTTTACATTCCACAAATTTTTATTTCTAAAACCCTCCTAAAACAGCCACAAAATAGCCCTTATATAGGGGAGTAAAAGGTAAAAAAAGACAATTAATACATATATTTAATGCACCTCAAAATCAGCCAATAGAATACCCTTGAAAACCACAACAAGCAGGGACCAAAGGGGCAGCCGCCTGGGGAAGAAACCGAAGCATCAAAACAACCCCAAAAGTGGGGGAAAACTAAAGCATTAAATGGATCATAAAGGGAAAACCAAAAAGGCATCTTTTGTGAATTAAAATCGGCACGGGGAACACCAAAATGCCTCTTTTGCCTACAATTCTCCTCCGGTCGAGAAATCTCATCTCCTGATGAGAATGCCTTGGTACATGTTGGAAAATATCAGGATAACAACATTGCAAACTTAGGTTGAATAACAGTGCTTCCTTGATGTTCCAAATGCATTATTTCTGCTGACAAAGTTTTCTTTTAAAGTGAATATTGGCTTGTTGACTGTTTTGACTTTTTTCTCTCTTTTTTTTTTCTTTAAAGAAAAGAAGACTCACAACCTAAAGCTCTGATATCAAATTGATGGAACAAGAAAATATTGCAAAGACACAAATCTTCCTTTCTTACAACATAAATAAATATAAACACTAAGATTGCAAATTAAGAGATACAACTTCAACTACAAATGACAAACATAAACCATAAAACTTATATATATTTTAGAGAAGAAGGATACATATTGAGTAGAAATTGTGGATAGAGAAGAAGGGATTAGAAGACCAAGACGAATTTTAAGAGGAGAACGGGAAAGAAGACCATAGCTCGCAAGCTATGTAAACCCGCAGGTTTTTACATTCCATAAATTTTCATTTCTAAAACCTTCCTAAAATAGCCACAAAACAGCCCTTATATAGGGGAAGAAAAAGTTAAAAAAGACAATTAATACATGCATTTAATGCACCTCAAAATCAGCCAATAGAATTTCCTTGAAAATCGTAGTAAGTAGTGACCGAAGGGGCAGCCGTCTGGGAAATAAATCGAAACATTAAAACAGCCCCAAAAGTGGGGGAAAATCGAAGCATTAAATGGCTCATAAAGGGAAAACCGAAAAGACATCTTTTGGGAATTAAAATTGGCATGGGAACACCAAAAAGCCTCTTTTGCCTACATCAGTTCTCCTCCGGTTGAGAAATCTCATCTCCTGATGAGAATGCCTTGGGTACATGTTGAAAAATATCAGAAAGACAACGTTGTAAACTTAGGTTGAATAACAATGCTTCCTTGATGTTCCAAATGCATTATTTTTTATGACAGAACTTTCTTTTAAAGTGAACCTTGGCTTGTTGACTGTTTTGACTTTTTTCTCTTTTTTTTTTAAAGAAAGGAAGATTCACAACCTAAAGCTCTGATATCAAATTGATGCAACAAAAAAATATTGCAAAGACACAAATATTCCTTTCTTACAACATAGATAAATATAAACACTAAGATTGCAAATTAAGAGACACAACTTCAACTACAAATGACAAACATAAGCCATAAGACATATATATATATAAGAAAGATACCTGTGGAGTGAAAAAACCGTGGATAGAGAAGAAGGGATTAGAAGACCGAGACAAATTTTAAGAGGAGAAGGGGAAAGAAGACCATAGCTCGCAAGCTATGTAAACCCGCAGGTTTTTACATTCCATAAATTTTCATTTCTAAAACCTTCCTAAAATAGCCACAAAACAGCCCTTATACAGGGGAAGAAAAAGTTAAAAAAGACAATTAATACATGCATTTAACGCACCTCAAAATCAGTCAATAGAATACCCTTGAAAACCTCAGCAAGTAGGGACCGAAGGGGCAGCCGCATGGGGAAGAAATCAAAGCATCAAAACAGCTCCAAAAGTGGGGGAAAATCGAAGCATTAAATTGCTCATAAAGGGAAAACCGAAAAGACATCTTTTGTGAATTAAAATCGGCATGGGGAACACCAAAAGACCTCTTCTGCCTACATTAATTAATGATGCAATCAAAATTTAGGAAAGCTAAGATTGCAAATACCTATACCTCTTCCTTTAAAACATAACAAACATAAAATCATATAACTTAAAATCGACACAACACCTTACAACTATATATATTTTAGAGAAGAAAGATACAAGTGAGGCGGGAACCATGGTTAGAAGGAGTAGAAGTCTTGAGACGAAATATAAGAGAGAAAAGCATAGATAACTAGCTCGCAAGCTAGAAAAAACCCTCAGGTTTTACTCCAAAAATTCATCACATAGCTCCTTTTCAAATAGCCACAAAACAACCCTATAAATAGAAAAGAAAAGGAGGCCAAAAGCCATGCTGAGCCGCCCACCACAACCAACCAAAATAGGAGAAAAAATCAGCAATAAAGGCACATTTGGACCCCCACCCAAACAACCACAACAAGGGAACCGGGACAGCCAAGGAGCGGGAACCAAACAGCCAAGCAAAGGGAACCGGGAAAGCAGGGAACAAAAATCGAACAACCCAACAAGAGAAACTGGGAAAAGCAGGGAGTAGGAGTAGAAACCGAAAAGCCAAGACCAGGGAAACCGGGAAAGCCAAGAACCGAATAGCCAAGGCCAGGGAAACCGAGAAAGCCAGGAACCCAGCAGCCATATGCTTAAAAAACAGCCCCTAATCAGCCACCAAACACCAAACAGCCAAAGAAAAATGAGCCAAGCCCATTTAGCCAACTTCAGCCCATAATTAAATGCCGAAATATACAAGCCTTGCTTGCATCATTTTCCTTATCCCAAAAAATTTGAATGAGAATATAAATATAAAATTTCATAAGCTTGCTTGATTTTTGAGCACAAATTTATTGTTTCCATAATTTAAACAGTGAAAATGAAAAGTGATCTGAAAATGATATTTTTCTAATAATAGGATCGAAGCTCCTTCTTTTTATTGTGTATACGGATACGTTTGTAGATATGCATATGTAAACATGTACATACATATTTACATGCACATCCATATAAAATATATTGATATTATAGCCTTATAGGCAACGTTAATAAATTATATGTAATATATGTTGTATATAATACTTGCAATATAAATTATGATACCATAAATTGTGTATAATTATTTGTTATTATATCCTCGTATTTTTATGAGATAAGTTGTATAATTATAACATATATATATGTAATGCTTGTATGACGTTGGGGGTTTTGCAAGGAGGGAGACCATCTCGTCTAGCTACTTTTGAGTAACTTTGGGGCATATGAGGTTGAAGTAATGTGACTAGAAGTCATATATATCGTTTCTCCAGGAGAAGTCACTTCCCACTTCCCCATTCCCTTGTCAAGTTAGCAGACAAAGTGGTTCCATTTCCTTCTGAATTTGAACTTAGTGCATATAAAATAGCTCTAGCTCATTTATTTGTTGTGCACTTTCAAGATATTGCCTTAGTTGCTAACTTGCTATCTATTTACAGTGTACTAATGTGATGTTTTTTTACCTTCTTTTTGCAGGCTTATGACTTGGTTCAAGGAAGCCTTGTATGTACAGCACTTCTTTGCTACCTTGTCACCCAATTTACTTATTTCTAATAGTGCAGCCTTCCTTCATAATACTCTATTGCTTCTAATTGTAGTTTTATTTGTAGTGGCAAGCTTATTTATTTAAATATGAGCTCAACTTTGAATGATAGACATAAGGCCTTTTGTTATCATTCTTTTAAGCTTATCATGTTTCCAAAATATATGGTTCCTTTTACTCGCAGACCTGTATATCTTTACAATTCACTTGTATTACTCGATTGTAGATTGCCTTCTTCAATAACTTGTTTTTAAATGAAAAATAAGCATCATAATTGCCTCTGTTGATGAGGTGATGATGGACAGCCAATTGATGAAACCAAGTTTATTAAAACTAGGTTTATTCATGAGAAAAATATGATGATTGTATTGTAAATAACATCCCAGTAAAAAAAAAGATAAGATCCGGTTCTGCATTGACTTCTGGGAATCGATGAAAACTTATCTAAAATGTGATTTATCACTGCCCATGGTAGCTCTTGTTTATGGATGGGTTCTCAAGCTAAAACCAAATTAAAGTGTCACATGAGGATGAGAAGCATGCATCTATCCAGACCACTCTATATTTTTCTTCCAACAAGGTGATGCTTTTAAGGGCTCGAATCATATCTATGACGACCTCACACACAAGCAAGTAGAGTTTCTTGTCAAGGAATTAGCTGTAGAAAGTATATGCCATTTTAAGCATGTAAATAATCGTTGGATTGTATTTGAAGGAATTCAAAATTTTAATCTTAAGATGAATACTTCGTAGTATGCTTTTGGTGTTTCATTGGGAGAAATTTTAGGCTATTTTATATGTCATGGTAGCATTGAAATTGATCACTCTAAAATTAAATCTATTATATATCTACCACTACTAAAAGCCATAAGACAACTTTTTATTTAGGATAGGTTGTCATACAAGGAGGCTCATCTCTAATATCTAATATCTTAGGTAGGTGTCAGCCCTTTTCAGGTTGATGAAGGACCCCACCTTTGTATGGGACGGTGCTTGTAATTAAGCCATTGACATCAGAACACAATATTTATCGCATGCTCAACTCTCGTGACACTCATCCCATTTAACAATCCATGCAAGTATGCAACATTGCTACTTTAGTTTGACATCATGTATGCCCCGTAAAAGGTTGTGATCATGATTGATTTCCTAACTATCCATCTTCTTCAACTCCACTTTCCACTTAATGTGATTTGCTAGATGAGGATATCCTCAAAGTGGAAGAAGACAAATAATCTCCGAAATGGGAGCTCTATTTTGATGGAGTTTTATCAGCGTGACCAACAATACTAGACAAAATTTGTATCTTTTTTTAGAACACCATAAGGAGGTGTACTTCGATATTCCTACGGCCTATCAGAATATTGCACAAATAATAAGGTTGAATATGAAACCATAATAATATGCCTCAAACTTGCAATCAGTATGAGAATGAAGAAGCTTCACAAAAAAGAAGCCTCAAACTCCTAATTGATACATAAGTAGAAAATAGGTTCTTTCAAGATCATAAACCCATATATAACTACACAATGGTTCTGTTTCATGAGAACAGTAAAGCTAATTCACTGGCTAAGTTAGCCAAGAAAATTAGTGGATTCTTTTGAAGATCTTGTCATCATATTCAAAATATGCATATTATGCCACCAACTCTTTTGTAATATATGGAAACTAGAGAAACTCAAGTGACCCTAGCAATAGCCAATGAGGTTGGTTGGAGAGAATATTTCATCACATACATTAAAGTAAACTTCCTAAGAATAAATCTATCATTTTCCAAATTTCATGAAGTGTATTCCTATATGCCTTCATAAATGATTCAATATATCAAAGGTCATTTGCCCAAATGTGATTACAATGCCTTGGATCTAGCGAAGCCAAGGCCTTCATGTTTAAAATATATGAGGGGCCATGTGGTACACACTAATTCTATCAAAAAATGAAGATCAAAATCAAACATATGAGATATTGCCAGCCTAATAAGGTTAAGCACTATATTGACCACACTAATGTGGAGGCACTCTACATTAACTGCTTAACCTAATACATTTTATAAGTATCATTTTGGTTGTTTAGATGTTCGGATATTGATTTGCTTGGCTCTATAACCCCCATTGTTCTTAGGGCATCAATTTATCCTCTTTGCCGTTAACTATTTCTCAAAATGGGTCAAAACAATTCCCTTAAAGGAAGTTAAAATAGATAATATGATGTTCTTCTAATGCCACATTGTCTATCAATTTTGAGTCCTATGCTAAATCCTATCTAACAATAATAAGAACTTTAAAAGCGTTCAAATTTGTTGTTTCATCAAACAACATATGTTAGATTCTTTCCTGAATTTATAACCTTAGAGCTAATGGTTTGTTTAAAGCATTCAATAAGACCTTAAAAAAACTATTAAAAAAAAACCTTTAAAAGAATAAGAGAGAATGATATGACAAATTAATAGAAGTTCTATGTATCTATCACACTACATATAAAATTGTGATGCGAGCCACTTCGTATTCACTTGTATTTGGAATAGCGGTGATACTTCCTCTCAAAGCTTCGCTACTTCTACTCTCAATTGTCATACAGTATGGACTAACATATGAAGAAAATATTGATTTACATCTCAAAGAATTTGAAGCTTTAGACAAACTTTATCTTTAAGCCCAACAAAAAAAAAAAGAAAGACTAAAGGCAAGGATGACCAAATATTGCCATGATCATATAGTTATCCCTAGAAGCTTTAGGGATGGTGAATTAGTCATCATGTGTTAAAGACCTATACTTTTCAATCATCACATTAGTAGTAAATTATAACCAAATCTGAAAACAACCTTCATTATTGAAAAAAGTATATGTAAGAAGAGCATACTAGTTTATCTAAATGAAGGGTGTAAGGCTTATGCAGTTATGCTTCTGATAATGGTTGTTGCCTCATGTTATTATTTTATGCAGTTGGCTTAGTTGTTGTGCTTACTTATTGAGCCTAAAGGTTCAACTATCTTCATTTGCTTAATATGTGATGTAGACAAGGGGGGGGGGGGGGGGGGGGGGGGGGGGGGGGGGGGTCAACTCATGTTAAAAATAAATCAATTTTTGGCTTCCCTTGAGTCTACAAGCTCAATTAAATTTGAGATGAAATTTAGCTCATTTATGAGCTGATTTTTAGTTCATTTATTGAACTAAGAGTTAGTTCATTATTAGCTAGGTTTTAGTTCATTAATTGTCTTATTTATGTAACTTTTTATTTATAGTTATTATGTTGTCTCTTGGGATTCCAAAATGACTTTTGGAATTCCAAGAAAATGTGTATTCCCATGCCATGGCTCCTTGGCTTCTTCGGGTGGCTGTTTTCCATGCAAAGCTCCTTGGTTCTCACAGTGGCTGTTGGTTTTCCGAGCTTGGGGGTTTTTCCCGTGGCTTTGGAGCCTTGGTTCCATGCGGCCTCCTTGGCTCCCGTGGATGCTCCTTCGGTTCTTGGGCTTGGGCTGTTTTTCCATGCTAAGTGATGCTTGGGTTCTTGTGATAATTTAATGTATGTATCCTTTTGTATTCCCCTTTCATACCTATAAATATGAGGGGTTGTTTATGTTTGAAAGTAAGTTGAATGAAATGTGATTTTTGGAAAGCTTTAACCTGCGGGTTTGCTTTGGAAATCCTGCGGGCTCTTTCCACCCTTCTTTCTCATCCCCTCCGGAAATCCTGCGGGCTCTTTCCAACCTTTCTTCTCGGGCTTCTAACCTCTTTCGTCTCTCCGCAAGTGCCACTCCACCTGTATCCTTCTTCTCTAAGTAAAGCAACTTTAGGGTGTCTTTTTATTTTTATTTGGAGTCGTTTGTAGTCTTTTGATTTCTAGTTTTTAGTTTTATTTGAAATGTAAGAGTTTGTTCTCTCTCTTCTCGTCCTTAGTCATTTTCGTCGGTAGAAGTCCGTCTCTCCTTTGCGATCGAGAGGTATAGGGTCCCCTATATTTTTTGCTCGCATCAATATGCTATTAAATGCAAGTCAATTCTTAAAGATGGTTTAATTTAATGAGCTTAAAGATTAAGCTATATTACAACTAGTTCTGCAAGCTCAAGAAATCAAACTAGTTGAACTAATTTCAACTCACAAACCCAAAGGTTAAAGTTCGGTTGTCTTTTATAATTCTCCAGCAATAATGGTATATTTTATATTAATGCCTCTAAAGCAGCTTAGTCAAGCCTTGCGGCTGGAATCTCAAAAGTGGTATAATAACTTGTGTTTACAACCAAACAAATTGCTTGGAATATAAATCTAAGAGTTAGCTACCTTTTAGACTCTACAAACTCCAAAAGCAGAATCAAAACTTAAATCTCAAGCTGAAAAAGTCTAAAAATTTCAAGATTGGATGTGTCAAGTATCAATTCAACAAGTCTAGTAATTGAATTAGGAAAAACTCTTTCAAACATAAGGGTTGTGTTGTTTCATTGATTCAACAAGTTCTAGCGGTCAGTTGACACAATATATGGTGATTCAGTAAGTCTAAGAATTGAATAGTCTCTATCTTGATATCTCTCAATAAGCCTAAGGGTGAGCTGACATTTTTAGCTCACAAGTCGAAGGATTGAATTGCCATGTTAATTCAACAAGTTTTAGTAGTCAAGTTGGCATGCACATTAATGGATCAACAAGTTCAAGGACTAAGCCATCCCCCATCTTGGTTTAGCCAGCTAAAGGTTGAACCGGCACCCTTAATTCACAAGTTCAAGGGTTGAGTTGTCATGTCAATATAACAAACTCCACTAGTCGGGTCAACAAACACATACGATGGTTAAAAAGTTTAAAGACTAAATAATCTTTATCTTGCGGGTCAAACTAAGGGCCGAGCTATCATGGTCAGTTCAACAAACTCTAGTAGGCAAGTTGATATAACTATATGATGATTTAGCAAAGTTACTGGTTTAAATGAATCCTACGCATAATGAATTTCAATTCAAATAAGTGTTTTTAAAGCGTTAAGCTCAATGTAATACGGAAGTGTTCAATTTTACTTAAATGAGCAATGCATAAAGTGAAGCAATGGTTTTACTAATAAGGGGTTTCACAACTTGTATATTATATATTCACATAATATATTCATATAATAGTAATAAATTTTACGAATAATGTAATAAATTTTTGATAAATATAATGATTTGTTCAATAGCAATAATTTCCAGCTATCTAAAAGCCAAAATATAGGTTCAAATATAGAAATAATAGTAATGAAAATATTTATACTTGAAAATCAAGAACACTCGTGAGATTGAGTGACTATCTAGAAATGAGAAATAGTGGTGGCTTGAAGTGAGGGAGAGTGTGAAGATGAGATATTGAGAAACATTCGTGAGAAGAAGCTTGTGAGCAAGAAGCTATTAGTACGAGAAACAATAACCAACAAGAAACTTATAAGAAAAAAGGTGAACCAACTTTACATACTCTAATAATGCAACTTGTATTTACCTCACGCGAGTCATATGCCTCTCTTCTATTGACATTTAATGTACCTTACATTCTCTTCTCTCTTATCTTGATCCAATCGTATATGTCTCCCTCATACCCCACCACAATCTCTCTTAGGCATTACTCACTAAAAAGACTTCTGATATCATCCTAGTTCTAGAATGACCCTTTCTCCCCTAATTTGATCTCCCTTGCTTGCACTCAATCCATCTCCCTTGATCTCACATTTCCTTCTCACCCTTTTTCTTTCCCTCACATCCCGATGACACGTGACATGCCCCCCACTCTTCCATCCTATGTGCAAACCCACCTGATATTGAGCTCCCTCTTTGCTCTCTTCTCCATGTTATCCTTTTCAGCAAGTAGCCCAGTGACACTACTTTATTCTCTTTTTCCCAAAAACATTCTCCCCCTTCACTCATTCACATGTCTCTTGACTTGTCTTCTGTGCATTCTACAATGCATGACTCCTTAATCTCCCCCTCCCTCTCTCTCTCTCTCTCTCTTTAACAAGACCTAACACCTTATGACTCTTGCCATCAAAATGTCTAGGCCCGAGCTCAACTATGCCAACTCCTTAGTGGTGAACTCTAATATGACTTCTTTCCTAAGCTCCAATATGACTCCTTCCTCTAACAAGCAGGAAACTCGGCCCTTCTCTTGGATTTGTTCCCTGCCACAAATTTTGCGACATTAGATTTGATTCCCTCGATTCCAACGGTCCAACACGCGTTGGCCTCATGCCTTTCAACTTTTTTGTTTGCAAGTACTCCCCTGTTAATTTCATATGGCACAAATAAGGGATCAAAAGATGGAAGGGTTGATCTTCAACCAGGCTAATTTAAAAGAATGATTATTGATCTGGCTAGTGTGTATAATCATTGATCTTTGATTTGATTAGTTTTAAGAGCATAAGATCTTCGGTCCATCTGGAATTTTGAAGACTTTCATGTTATTTATCTTCGATCTAATTGAAACTTAAAGACCTTTGCATTAGTAATCTTCATCCAATTGGAGTTTTGTCTTCTTTTGTTGATGTTTTTGATTTAGGTCTAAGGAGATGAATGCTTGTCTTTGGCGACCATGCTTAATCTTGTGGTAACTTCATCGCTGTTAGATAGTGGAGGGTATAACACACGACTTCAACATTACTGAGATACCTGCAACATTTAACCTTAGGTAGATGAGATGTCATCATTGGTGTTGAAACCACTAACAAGAAGGGAAACACATTACTGGAATAATTCTTCCTAATAGTTATATATTAAAGAGTTTAAAATAAAATAAATGTTAAATTTTTTTAAAGAACTAATTAACTCAATTCAGTTAGTTTGAGAATTACATTGTTGATCTTTGATCCAGCCTAAATTTTGATGACATTCACACAATTGATCTTCGATTTGATCGGAGGTTGAAAACTTTCGTGTTGTTGTTCCTCGATATGGCTAAGTTTTGCATTTCTCTGGTGATCTTAGATCTGTGTTTAGGTGTTTGAATGCTTACCATCAAAGACTATATTTGATCAAAATTTGATGACGATGATCTCATTGACATTACGCAGCTCTAGTTATGGTAGTCTTACAACTTTAGCATCCTTGATATACTTGTGACCTCCAATTGTAGGTAGATGTGGTGTCATCCTTTGTGTCAAAACAAGCAATGAGAAGAGAAGCACGTTGAAGGGATGCTTATGCCTATAGATAATAATGGGGTCTAAAAAAAGAGAATAAGATGCCTACACATACACCTACACCTACACATACACATACACATACACATACACATACACATACACATACACATACACATATATAAGAATAATCATGTGTAAAACATTTGAATTTTGCAAGTTTCAACATTAACCCCCAAGCCAATATTAAATAAACTCAATTTAGTTATTTTGTAAAATATGTGAATGCTTTATACATTCAAATATGTTTAGGTAAAATGTTCCAATATTTTGTGGCATTCTTGTAGTCATCCCTAATTCAATTAGATTTCATAGAATTTATTATACATGCTATCTTGGTTATAGAGCGAAGTTTTAAAACATCCATATGAGTTTCCTTGCATATAGAGCGAGATTGTACGACTCATTGTCGGATTGATTATAATATTAATCTATTATTATGGTTTTCTTTATGGGCCTTCCAAGGGATGTAGTCTCAATGCCAATTAGATGGGCCAACACAAAGTGTTAGGAATTTCATCAAATCATGCTTTCCTCTTGGGTTGTTAAATGGATATAAGCTCCAACCTTATCTAAATTTGTGCCATCTCCTATATTAACAAACCTACAAATGAAAATCTAATCCACAAATTAAAAGCTATTCAAATAAAAAACCCTCAACATTTATCTACACTTTTTTTAGTTAGATTGAAACTCGAGAATAGCATATGGTTATGCCATGCCTTTGAGCTCTAATTGGTTATGTCTAGTTTATTTGAATAGCAAGTGATTTTACCTTGTGCTTTTGAACTATTCAATGAAACTAGGACAACAACCCTCCACCAATAAACGAGTTGATGTCAACTTTGAATGCATGTTCTGACATGTACGTCTACCCTAGCACTCGAGATATTTGAGAAGTGGTAATCTATGCTTGCTAATCAGATTCCTTGGATGTTAAGACTCAAATTCTTTTGACATTAACAAATTGAATCCAATGCTATACTTAGATGGTGAAATTATGAGATCATGATCTAGTATCTCTATTAACCTAATCATTCCCTATTAATTCAATTCAAGCATAAACATAAGCATAAATTTTGAGCCTAAGCAGCCATCTTGATCAAGGTTGCTTTCCTATGGGTGATAGGGGCAAGTAATAGGGGCTTGCACAATAGCAAGACTCAATCTCAATTCTATATAAACTCCGAACCAACAATAGGCGACTTTTGGTTGCTAAGCCTAATCTATCTTATAGAAAGCTGCTCCCATATTTTTCTCATCAGATTGAGAGGCTCGAGGAAGGAGTTGACTTTTCTTAGCAATCACAATGTTCTCTTCTGATTATGATAATCTATCATTCCTGGATTTTGGAACCTCTATGTTGAATTCTAAGATCTCTTCTGTCCTTATCCTCCGCTTTTAATGTGAAGTCAAATTTTATTTCTGTGTTAATCTATTGGAGGCAAATTCTCCAAGTTGTGTTTTGTTGATATATGTTGAATTGATTGAGACACATTCATTGAAATATGTGTTCACATAATTGCAGGTTAGGTGGAATTCTGTAGCTGACAAGTCTGTACCTGATCCACCAACTGCTGTTTTTATCCATGGTATTCTTGGTGGCAGGAAAAACTGGGGTATATAAAACTATAAGTTTCTCAAATTCACTAGATTTTTTCCTTATATGTTACAATTATTAACTCGAAATCATGAGCAAATTTACAATGATCTCTTCTTACATACCTGAATAGTCTTACACAATCAATTCAAATGGCTTCTTTGGCAAGGTCAAAGTAATTCTTCCAGTTTTCCTAAGCTTGGAGTTTCCAGAATAGCCTGTTTTATGTTTCTTTCTCGAAGGATAAAAAAAGCTTATTTGTGTTCAGGCAGGCTCCTTTCCATAACGCTAAGAAGAAAAAAAAAAAAAAGGGATTGAGAAATGACACGATTTCCTGTTATGTAATTAAAACCTTAATTATTTTTTCTTGCATGTTCATCCATATTGTTTCAGCAGTTTTTGAAGATGAATTAGCATTGCTGATGTTGTTCTTGTGCTGCAGCTTCTTTTTGTAGAAATATATTCCCATCACCAGCATTCGATAGTTCTGTAGTTATATTCCCTCTTCCCGAAAGGCCACAGACTGATGCTATAGAATTAATCATCATTATTGCCTATCCGAAGTCATCATGTTTCAGGATTCATTCTTTCTCCAGTTGGAGTTTTGCACCTGTCTCTCTTTAGTTGTGTTCCTGTATTATCCCTTAACATATTTTCACACCCTCATCCTCAGCTTACAAGACAGAAGGTTGGAAGATACTCCAGCTTCTGATCTAAGGAGTGATGCAATTAAATGTGTTGTTAAAGCATGCACATTATAAGTTATCAAGTTTGTGACGTTCATCAAAACATAGCTAAATTTAAGATAATCCAACTCTACTTTATTATCTTGGGCATCTACGTAAATGAAGATAAACCTGCAGATAGTTTATCGCATTATTCATTATTTCTCGTATCATTTCAACTCATCTTGTTGTTGATCAATTATGATTTAAAAATCCTCAGGTTCTTTTGCAAGGAGATTATCACAAGAATTTCCTATGTGGCAGGTACATCGCATGGTGATTTTAATATTTCAATTTCTCTTATTTAGGAATGCTATAACATAACTTGATTATCCAAAGTTTTTTCTTCTTGAGATGATCATAGAATTGAAGTATAGTATCATCAAGCATTTAGACTTTTATTTTTTATTTTCTTTCAGTTTCTTTTAGTTGATTTGCGTTGCCATGGTGATTCAGCATCACTTAAGAAGCTTGACCCTCATAGTGTCGCTTCTGCTGCCCGGGATGTTTTGCAGCTTGTAAGTAGTAAACAATATTCTTCTTTTTTTCGTGCTCATTTATAACTTTCTCAATAAGAGTATTTCCATCAATATCTACTTTAAAGATGCAAAGTACTGTTTTATATTCCCTTCAGCTGGTCCATATTTGTTATTTTTGTGTTTTGTTTTACATGTCACAACATGAACCTAGAAACTGAAAAGTATATCTATCACATTGTTAAATTTTATTCGAATCTTTATTCTTTTACATTATGGATGTAGTAATCTCAAATGATCACATCTTCGCCAAGAATGTTTCTTTATGCTATTGATATTGAGAAAATGATCAAAGTGGTCTCTTGACTTTTTATGATGACCAAAATGATCTCAGCCTATTCTAAAGGATCATTTTGATCCCTCTAATCTTTAAAAAGAAATAAAAAAAGTCCTATGATGGGACTATTTTGGTTCCTCTTTAAAGAGTTGAGGGATCAAAATGATTATTTAATATAGTTGGAGACTATTTTGGTCTTTCATGAAGAGTCAATGAACCATTTGATCCTTTTCCTCTATTGATATTACCAACCTTGTGGAAATGCAAAGTAAAAATGAATTTCTAAATACTAATAATAGTGGGTTTTTTTTGTTAAATTCAATATGAATATAGTTAAGTACTCTTATTTTAACATTTACTTTTTTTGGCATTGAAAGTTAGATGATTTTGTTCATTAACAACAATGCCTATTTATAGGCATACAAGATGAATATAATTGGAAGAAAATAAAGGGGAGAATAAATATAATAAGGGAAAATAAATACATATTGTTTGAAAATATATACTTATAATATATTGATTTCCTAATATTATTTTCTGATTAGCATCCTATGCTAATGCTCCTCTAAACTGGAGCATATATATCCATAGCTTTAGTTTGTCACTTAAGTGAGAGAATAATAGAGGACCCAAATATCTTGCACTTGTTTTGAATTGGAAACATGAGGTGTAACAATATTTTTAGATAGCACGACATCTTATATGAAATAACAATCATCATTAATGTGCTTTGTCCTTCCATGCAACAGAAGATTATTGCCAATGTATGTGGCTGGCTGCATGACTATCGTGACAGAGAACCATAGGCTCAGTTACTATCGCAGTAGAGAACCCTAGGCTCAATTGCTGAAAAGCCAATTTCTTCAAATAGAATTTGAACCATATCATTTCACATATAGAATGAGTCATTGCTCTATCTTCTTCTTCAATGCTGGCTCTAAGTAGAATTGTTTGCTTCCTACTCTTCCAGATGACCATATTATCTCCCACTAAATTACAATACCAAGAAGTAGATTTTTGTATGAATAAATCCAACCTAGTAGTTATCAGCAAATGCTTCAATATTTAAATGCCTAGTTTTACTATAAAATAGAGCTTTACTATTTTATATGAGAATTTGAAAAACATCTTAATATTTTTATTTTGGATTTTGCATACATTGACTTACAATTCCAACAACAAAAGATATATTCAAACGTATAATTGCTAGATAAATAAAAATTTCAACAAATATACATGAATAAGATGGATAATCAAATGGTATATCTCATCATATATACTTTGGTTATCCATGAGGGTTTCAGGTTGGATCTCACCCTAAAAGTCATATTTTTTTGAGCTGATGAGTGGCATTTTTTCTCGGAGATAAAAAGATCACTTTCTTCTTGTAAGTAAATTCAATCCCAATAAAATGCTTATGTTTCTTTGAATCTTTGGTTACAAAATAATTCTGCAAGTAGTGCTTTACTTTAGATGTCTTCTTTATTTCTCCTATTGAGTAATAATATATCATTCTACATAAGTGGCTAGCATAATTGAGCTTATTGTTGTATGTTTAACAAAGATAGATAAGAACTTCACAAAATTTGTAATCCAAGCTTGTGGACTCTTCTTGAGCCCATAAATGGCATTCCTGAGCAGGCATATGTGCTTCTTCCCTTGATTAATGTATCTAGGAGATTGCTCTATAGATAGTGCCTCATTCTAATCACCATAAAGGATGATGTTATTTATATCCTTTTGCAGCAATGGGCTAATCTTGATTGATGACCACGAAGATTAGAATTCTGACAGAGTTGAGTCTGGTGACTGAAGAAAACTATCAGAATAATCTATCCCATAGGCTTAAAGCTTTTGCAACTAGCTAAGCTTTCTACTGATAGTGAAAATCCATCCACAAGCAATGGGCTTGACCCAATAAGAAGGGGCAATTAATTCCAATGTTTGTCGATTATGAAGAGCATTTATCTTAACATCTATAGCTTATTTTCGTAGAGGATGTTATATTGCTTCTAGGGGATAGGGACAACAAACAAATGCATGAAAATATGACAATAGGATATGATCAAATGGTTAATGTTCATAGTGAGAATAGATGACTAATAATTTGTCATTTATCTCATCTTATTAGCACTATAAGGTGTGGATGTGAAGGCACGGTCTAAGAGGGATCCTCAATAGAAGTAGATAGGATGATACGAGGTATTGTAGGAGGAGATGGTTGAGGTCCTCTTCTAGAGTACAATAGAGGAGGGGATATAGGAATGAAATAGCAAGAGGAAAATGGCTAAAAGGTGATGATTCAGAAAGGGAAATAGGAATGAAAGGGGTATTCTCATGTAAGGTGATTCCATAATGAAGCATTCAATTTATTATATGGGGGTCATAGCATTTATGCCCTTTTGAGTTAAACAATACCCAAGGAATATACAATGAGTGACATTGGGAGAGTGTTTATCATGCGAGCAAAAACATAAACAAAGCAAAGGCAATTAAGCACTTGTTGAGTGCAAGAAAAAAAAAGTTAGATTAAAAAAATGTTGAGGGGAAATTAATTATTTAAAAGTTTAGCGAGGAAATGATTAATTAAGTAGTAGGGAATAAGGACTGCATCTCCCCAAAAGTACGAAGGATTTTCATGTGAAACACTAGTGTCTTGGCAACATCGAGGAGCATTTGTTACATTCTATGGCTCCATTTTACTAAGAGGTATATGTACAATTGTACATGTAGTTTGACAAAGAATGCTATTTTTACCGTAAAAATTAAGAAATTGGCTTTGCAGATATTATGAAGCATTATCGGTGTGCATATTTTTAGCGAAGCAAAAAAAATGAATATTAATTTTTTGATAAAATTTGTAAGAACGTCAATCTAACCAATATTTTATCTAATAAACCATGGTGACTCGAGAATTATTATCAATAAAGTAAACAAAATTGCACAACCCCAAGCAAGTAAGAACATGACTGAGAGTGAACTAACTTGAAAGGAAAGAGATAATGACTAGTATTGGATGATGGGAACAACACATGATATTTACCTAATTTTCAAGCAGATCATTCAAATATTGAAGGATACTATTTTTATATTATTTTGTGGGAGAAAATTTTGATAATTTTATTCACTAAATAATGATGTCTAATTACGGACATATAAAATGAATATAATTGGAAGAAAATAATAGAGAATAAATATATTCAAGAAAGAACAAATGTATATTTTCTAAAAAATATATACTCCTATGGTTTTCTAACATTATTTCTTAATAATCATCATATGCTTACTATATTTCAGAGGCAATACTGTAATAATTAAATATACGTACAAATTATTATGGTTATTGAAATCAACTATTCAGATCGACATTATCATTAACATTATCCCTCTTAATAGGAATCGACTTTATTATCCCAATTAATAGGAATCGGCTTTATGAATCCTCCTTTATTAATAAATGTTATTTGCTACATGGTTATTATCTATTTTATGCTAATTATCTAGCAATGCTACCTTTATCAATTTTTGTTCCTAATCGCTTTGCATGCAACTTCCCCATGCTTTAATTGTGATGCAGAAAATGTTTTTATGGAATGTCCATGGTGGCTGAGAATCACAAAAATGCTTCATTATAGAAGAAAGACCTGTGTTCTTACATATAAACGCAATCATGAATTTTTATATTTTTGTTGACATGCGGTCATCACTCTTTAGGGTGATCCATGCGCAGAAAAGACAATTTCTCCTCTTACCTATGTCATTTAACAAAGTCCTAGTTACTCTTCTACTCCAACAGGACATCAATCAATCATTTTTACTGTGTGTTGCATCTATTTCAATGGTTCCCGTAAATTTGCTGACCAAGTTTTTTCTCCAATAAAAAGAAACCAATCAGGAAATGCTTAAAAAGGAACCACTATAATTTTCTAACGAGGATCAACTCTAACTAGAAGATTTACTTTTTGAGCTGGAATGCTTCTAAAGAGCCGCAATTGGTTTGTTTAATAGCTTCGGATCAATTTGAGCTTTTTTGCTTATCTTTCTTTGGCGTTCCGATTTCATTGTGGATCTTTGGAGCTTTTTCTTCCTACAAGTATATTTTTGATGATTCATGCTAAATGTTCTAGTCTCACTTCTGTCTTTTATTACTCTGCTAAAAGAGGCATGTATTTGAAAGTTATGTTGTATGACAGGTGAGACAACTCAGAATAACTCCTCGAGTCTTAGTTGGACACAGCTTCGGTGGAAAAGGTAATGATAACCTACATGTTTAGTATGCTAGTGGCTACAGCTAACCACTTTACAATTATTCTTTTGGACTTGTCAGGATAAAATAAACTATTAGCTGTTTTATCTTGTTTTTTTTCAGTTGCCTTAAGTATGGTAGAACAAGCTGCAAAGCCTCTTGCACGTCCTGTGAGGGTAATGCTGTACTCTCTATGATATCTGTTCCAGATTTAACGCCAAGTCTTACAAGTTATATCTGATATTTACTAATACAAGGTGTTGAGGGCAGATTAGTCTAATCATTGATTTTCTTCTTGTTTGAAGGTTTGGGTCCTTGATGCTACCCCTGGTAAGGTTCGTCCTGGTGGAGATGGTGAAGACCATCCTGGTGAATTGATTGCTTTCTTGCAACGACTGCCAAGGAAGGTAAATTGACTAACTTTTGATTAATCTTTTAGATTCTTCATGTTATAATAGCTTCAGTTTATAGTTATAATCTTTTTCAGTTGTCTTAATTAGTTTCAATTTTTTTTCTGGCAAGGTCTACCTATTATCTTCATTTAAATGAAATTTCTTGAATGTCCTTTTCCTAGTGTTCAACATTTTTTTTGGTTTGTGTGATCATCACTTATCACCAATAAAAAAACTTGCCCAGACTTTTGCTGTGGCTAGGCTAGCTATTTTTTCTTATTTTGAAGGCTTGAAATACTTTTTAAAATTTGAGAATTGTTGTTATGTATTTTAATTTGGAAGTTTTTCCATCGAGCAGGTCGATGTTGTCACAGTTTTTTTTTTTTTTTTTTAAAGTTGGAACAAAATACTAAATATATCTTGTTTTATGTGATTTCCTTACGATTTTGTTTTGAACAAGACATGCATCCGCCCTGGAGCTTAATAGAGGATGTTCTCACGTGCTCACATGCCACGTTGACCGGTCAGTTTACATGTGGTTGCACCAACATGGCCAAACCTCTTGGGTTCAGCATTTGTAGCCTTCTTTCAGTTTTTGGTCATATTTAATATGTTTGAATAACTTGCCTAACTTCTACTATTTGGCACATGAAAAGAATCTGTCATATCAAGGAGGATTGGAGTGGCTTGGCGATAGGTGCCTAGGTGGAGATGTGGGTTTGATACCCCCATTATGCATGGATGCCTACTATATTATATTTGAGGGTATTTTTTTTTTTTTCATTCTCCTTATAATATTTAGTTTTCATACATTGACTAGAAAGTTGTGTGAGTTCTTTTTCCTATTTCCTACGATTATTACATTTGCTGCGACCTCTGGCTTATTGATTGTGGGCTTTGTATTGTTTTTCAGTGATGTAACCTTTAGCTTATAAATAGAGGCCTTTGTATCATTTTTTGTTAAGAATATGACAAGCGATTCAAGTTGATTTCCTTACAAACTCTCTTTAGCTTTTTCAAGGCCCTCAATCAAGCTGAATCCCCTTAGTGGCAGCCGCCAACTTCTATAGCCAGAAAAGTATGATGCATTTATATTATGGCTTATTTTGTTTTGATGTAATTTGAACAATATTTAGTTGTGTTTTGTTTTTTTTATGCTATCAAATGATGGAGATCATCCAATGATCATGATAGGATGTGCTTGGGCATGGTAAGGCTTGTGTTTGCTAGCATTTTGGGTCCTTTTGTTCTTTGGGCTGCCTGCTATTTCACTGTTTGGGCCATGGCTGCTCTCAGGTTGGGCTTTGGCTGCTCTGGTTGTGATCTAAAACTTTGGGAACTTCTTAGTGCTAGCTCATTAATGCTTGAGCTGAAGTTTAGCTCATTATTTGGTAGAGTAATTGCACTTCCTAGCTCATAAATTTGAAAATGTATGTGGAGCGGAGCTTGTTTCTTCCCATCTTGTGTCTCTTTGGTTTCTTCTTTGTGAATTATGGCTGTGTGCTGGCTGCCTTTTCGGTTTTCTCCCTGGTTGCTTTCCCGTGATCTCTTCAGCCCGGTTTCTATGATGGCTCTTTGGGTCCCTCCCAGGCTGTGTTCCCGTGGCTTCTCCATTCCGTTTCCCGTGCAATTTTATTTAAGCTGTTTGTGGTGTCTTTTGCCCTTCCTCTTCCCCTTACCTGAATGGTTTGGTTGGAGGTAGAAATTGTCTGTTTGGCTCCCCTTTCTCTCCTATAAATATGAGATATTTTTGTCTTGAGGAGGTTGTTGATTAACTTGAAAGAAGTTGCTTAAAACCTGAGGGTTTCTTCTCTTGGAAAAGCTTGAGAGCTTGTTCCACCTCTTCCTCTCTATTTCATCTTGGCTTCTAACCTCTTATTCTCTATGCAAATTCCACTCTTGTATCCTTCTTCTTGAGCTTTTGGAAGTTGTTTGTTAGCTGATTTTGGAAGACATTTGCCGGAGGAATTTGGTTGGACGTTGGACCCTTCTGCGTTGGTGGACCCTCAGTTTGCAAGCTTAAGCTTTATCATATATTTCCTACTTCTCGTTGCATGTGAGGAAACCGCTTGCCGGTTATTCTGAGGATAGTAGTTTTATGTTTTAATTTTGTTTCGTTTGCTTTGATATTTGTTTGGATGTTTGCTTACTAGATTGAATGGAGTTTGGTTCTCATTTGTCCTAGTGTTCTCCTATTTGTCTTTTCTTTCTAATTTGCCTGCATCAAAGTATATCATAGACACGCAGAAAAACTAGGGAACCTGCTCGTCCAACAAAAGTAAGACAGTAACTTACAAGTTTCATAATTGTTCTTGTCCTGGATTTCCTTATCTACCCTTATCATTGCTTTTCTGCTGGTTGAACTCGTTTATTCTCAATCTGTTGAAGCTTCCTTTCTTGCATGCAACCTTCAACATCCAACCGATATGCATCAAACACCTCTCTCGGATCCTATGGTATATTGGACATCCTTTTATCCTCTTCTCAGTATTTTAGATCAAATTGGAGTGCAGGAAATCAATTCCTGTTTGTATGGCAATCCGGCCACAAAGGAGATAACAAAGACATGATGAAGGAGCTCAGTTGTAGTACATTAGACCCTCCACGAAATGTTGGAGGTGCCGCAATTGAGATCAATCTATTTTTCAATACAGGATACACATGTATGAAAGATAGATTTAAAAGAGTCCTCTTATTAGATCTTTCCACATTAACGGAACAATTTATATTTGAGAATCTTTTATACATAATTATAGATTTAGGGTCATGAATAAAGATTATGATTAGCCGAATATTAAATTGTTATTTTACATTGTGTCTTCTACCTCTTAGGCTTTTCCTTATCTTTCTTCTATTGTTTCCCACTTTCCCCACTTTCTCAACTTCTTCAGGACTTTTGGAAATTTATTAATATGACTCTATATCAATTAGTATCAAAGCCGAAGTTTGTTCTAGAAATCATCATCGACATAACAAGAGCGTCTTTTGGAGGTTAATTTTGAGGCCTCATGTTGTTTTTAATGGTCATTGATAACATAATTGTTGGTTGTGTGGGTGATGTCTGTATGGTGAGGCGATTGAACTTTTTTTTGGGTCTCCATGTGGCATGTCCTGATAAGTTGATAGGGTGTTACCCCTATTTATCTCAGTGTGGTATCTCTTTAGAGGTTTTGGCGGATTTGTTTCTTCAATATAGTGATGAAATTGGTGGCCTTAGATTCTAGTCTATAAATAGTGGTGGCTCTTGGTGATTCATCACCATAACACGACTTATGACTGGTGTATTTTCCTTGTTATGTAATTCGATTCACAATTCTGCGCATCGGGCGTGATTATGCTGAGTGACTTTTGTTGCTTCAATGAATCATTCCTTTGGGGCGTGCATTTCATTTCGTGAATGGTTGTCACCATTGGAACAAAGCTTTTGATGCTTGATTTAACGAGACTCATCTCAGTCATGCTTTTTATTACTCTGTAGGGGCTTATTCTTTGCTTCATTGGAAGAAAGAGGCTGTCAGCATGGGAAAATGCTTTCACAAATGAAGAACTCTCTCTCTCTCTCTCTCTCTCTCTCTATGTAATAGTCATTTCAAGAGTCTTGTTTACTATCCGAGACATTAAAAGAGAGTCTAAGGGTCTGCTTTCATTGATCCCTACTCCCTACTTGATTGATCGATGAGTCATTTTATCGATTTCTCTATTCTTGTACATTTTCCTATTTTCTTGCAATGTGTCTATCTCCAAGGCCTGTTAATTCGGGTTTAACATTTTAGTTGTTTTTATTTGAAACAATGCGGTAGCATTTTTCTTAAAATTTTCTCAGTAATTGTCACGACCCGACCCGAGACGAGACGGATCCCGCCCGCGAATGCGGTAGCATTTTTCTTAAAATTTTCTCAGTAATCCACTTTCTTATTTGGGTCATCAACAAAAACTCTGTTTTACTCACATGTGATGTGACAATCTTGCTATTACGTTGCATCATCAATGGCCATGGATAGTTTAGCAGCATATTGACTTCAAATGCATGATTTGTTACATTTATGAGTCCTCTGTTCCCACATATCCAAGTGCTTTTGCTACCCGTATCTTTGATTTAAAGCTATTATTTCCAACTTGAAAGCTCAAGTTTGCTGACTTTGGTCATTATGGTAGACCTACACTATGTATAGTATGATCCCTAATCAACGCTTCAACAAAACTTTTCTATTTATTTTCTCTGTAAAATCTTACCCATCCTGTCTGATTTGCTCCGCTACTGTTTCAATTCTTCTCGGTTCTATCCTACAGCCGTTCTCTAGCTGTTTCTGCTGTGATTTGGTGACCACTTTTCACCATTTCTGAAACATATTTTCTTAAAAATATTGTTTATCTGGTGGATAATTCATAGCTTTTTGTACCACCAAATAATCCACTTTTATGTGGGTTGCATTTTCGTATTGTGCAGTTTCTTTTTGTGGTCTTTCATTGAAGTTTTATTCTTTTTTTTTTTAAGAGAATGAATATCTGAAAAGTCATGGCAAAAGTAGTCATTTTCCGCAGTGAAGTAGCTCTAATTATTTTTAGATTATGTGCAACATGTTATTGAACTTCCTAATAATTTAAGAGGTCTTCAATCTTCTTTGGAAATCAACTTCATCTATTTAGGTCATTTTATGCCATTCATTGTCTCCTTGTTTCTTTATTTTACTCTGACATACGAACTTAATGCTCTGCTCTATATTTTATTTCGAAATTTTGTTTATTTATTAGGAGTCATATATCATTTTTGTCTGCAGAAAGAAATTGTTTAGTGCATTATCAGCTAATTTTAATAGCTGTCTTAGAGTTATGTCTTAATATCAATGGTGTCTTTACAGGTTTCTTCAAAGCAGGAAGTTGTGTCAGCTATTGTTCAAGAGGGATTCTCTAAAGATGTTGCACAGGTAATCAAAAGCATGCTTAGTAACTTAAAATAATGGCACATTTATGCTATTTATATTGTCATCAATGGAACACTATTAATCTGTATCATACTTGCAGCTGAATTTAGACGCTATCTGTTTCTCTATATCTAGGAAGTTACCATTTCTGTTTTAATTTTTTGGAGCGTCATTTTCTTTAGTATCAAGTAAACTGTGACATAAATTATGTTGTTCTTTCAATTTGTGACGTCAATTATATTATTCACATTATGTTAGACTCCCTTGCTAATGTTGTATTTATTTTTGAATTGTAGTAATCCTTCATTCTAGTGCCATTTTAGTAATCACTCACAATCATCTTTCAGTGCCACAATCAACCTTATATGAAGTAGTTAGGATCGTTATCTTAAATCCTTGATCATTATCCATTACTATTTAAGCCTGTATTTGGTGTCAAGTGATGGAGGTGGGAGGATGAAAGAAAGGAAGGTAAAGGGTAAATTCAATGTTCGGAACTTACATAAAAAAGAACACTCAAATAGGCCTCAAGTGTCATTTTAAGCATCTGATTATCATGTCAATTGTTTGAATGCAAATCAGGAATTTCTATTTACAGAAGTTGGATTACTAAATGATGCAAAACAAATCGGGATTAGAATTTTCCAATGCAACTAATATGATGCATAATATATTTTCACACATAGAAAAATTGAAGATTCACATGTTACAATTTACGAATTAAGCTAACTATTCACTTTTTGTATAACAATGAGATTAATTTAAGACTGATTGACAATACAATGATAAAAAATATTTGAGAAAAAAAAGTAAATAAACTCATTAAACAAATCTTGCTCATTTCGACAAGTTAAATTGTGACGTGCCATAAATCTTTCCGTGTTTGTGCTTTTTTTTTTTTTTTTTGTAGTGGGTGGTGACAAACCTCCGGCCTATTGAAAATTCAAATTCAAGACCTGTTGCCTTCTCATGGGTCTTCGATCTCAATGGTATTGCTGACATGTACAAATCTTATGAGACAACAAATATTTGGTATTTCCTTAACCCGTCTGATTCACATTGCATTGCAGCATGAAATTTTCCTGCTCAATCGAAGAATATTTCCGAAAACAATTTCTTGGTATGCTTGCAGGGGAATTGTTGAAAATGTTCCTCGTGGCGTCCACATGAACTTCTTAAAAGCTGAGCGAAGCTTACATAGATGGGCGCTTGAAGATCTACAAAGGATTCATGCGGCCGAGGAGTTGGCTTCAGAGGAGGGAGCTGGAGTCCAGATGCATGTTCTTGAAGATGCTGGGCACTGGGTAAGTTCTCTATTGGAGTAGAGTTCTTTTTTAGTGCCATTATCACTTCAGTTATACAATGCCTCCGATACTTACTAAAACAAACTGCTATTTTTTTGTGGTTTGTTGAGCCTGTCTGCATTCTCCGATTCTAGAGTTCTTTGTCCTTGAATTTTTTGTTTTTATATAAGGACAACAGCAACAATAAAAACAACTTCAAACATTTATCCCACTACATGGGATAGGCTAACATAAATTATTTTTTCTTCATTTTGCTCTATTAAGAGTCCTCTCATTTAAATTTAATAAAAAAGATAATTTCTAATACTTTCTAACCAAGCCTTTTTAGGCCCACCTCAATCTTTCTTAACATAGGTTGGATCTGATACATCTATTCTTTCAATCTGGTCATCGGAAGGACGACATTTTACATGACCAAACCATTTAAGCCGACTCTCTCTAATTTTATATGCCACTAGAGCTACTTCAATCTTTTCACATATATAATACTTTTGCATGTTGTCTTTAAGTGTAAAGTCACTCATCCACATAAGCATCCTCATCTCTGCAACAATTAAGTTAATTTAATGCTACTCTTTTAATGGTCAATATTCTATGCCATAAAGTATTGCAGGTTTCACTACCATCTTATAATTATTTTTTTAAAATTGAGGGGTACTTTCCTATCACACAACATACCCGATGCATTACTCCACTTTAACTATCCAATATGAATTATTCTAATAATATCCCCATCTGCTTCACCGTCGCTTTCAATCCTAGATTCTAGATATCCAAAATGTGTATTCTTTTTAATAACTTGATCGCTCAATGACACAATTTCACCACAAGATATATTACTACTAAAATAACATTATTTTCTTTTTTTAAGAAAAAAAACAAAACTTGTCTTATAGCTCTTTTTAGTGTGTTGATAAAAATAAAAAAAAATCAGAAAATGATAATTCAGTTTTTACTCATTTTGAGTTTTAAGTTAAAGGGGGAGATTGAAGGAGGTTTCTATATTTGAAATCAATGTTGTTGTCTAACTCCATCCAAAAAATGTTAGATTTTTCAAAACATAAATTCTTATTCTGATGTCAGCAAAAGCTCATTATTCATGTTTGATTGTGCTTGGCTTGATAATTAGAAGGAAATCACCTTATTTTTTAAATTTTATTTACTTAATGAGTCAAATATGAACATAATTTTACTTGATCCTATTTGGCTCAATAAATTTCATGGAGCATGTCGTTATTTTGGCTTTCAGGTGCATGCAGACAATCCTGATGGTCTTTTCAAAATCCTATCCAAATCCTTCAAGTGTACAGTAGCAGCGAAGAAAGTACTAAATGGTTTAAGATCCCAGTAGAAGAGAAGACTCTCTACGGTTACAAGATCAATATCCTAATCCAGCTTTAGCCATTGCTGGAGTCAATTCTTTCATTCATTTCATGTGTATGACCTTTGCTATCATGTATTGCTTTTAACGGCTAGTTGTAAGATTTGGAGTCTCTTATTTATGATTAATTTTATTATTCTTAAAAGAACACATTAAAAAAAATGTAATTTCTATGAGAAATAATCTTTATAAGAAATCATGAGAGAAGAAGTATTGAGAATTCTAATATGGAGAATTGATATGATTGAGGATATTTTGTTTGGTTGGCGGGGGTGAATACTCAAATTCGATCCGTCAAAATTTTCAAATTTATTTTCAACTAGTGTGTTATAAATCTGGTCATGTTTGAGCTATTGAATAGTTTCAAAGCAGCTCTCTCTCTATCTCTCTAAATGTTGTTAAGGTTGAAAATAAATAGAAAAAGAAATTATTAAGGTTTTGTTTGGAGCGATTTTTTTTATTGCTTCCAGGTATTTTATGTCCGCATTAAATCAATATATTATGTGCTCAATATTTCACATGTTTAATATCAATAAAATGAATCAATGGTTTCAAACATCATCGATGTTTATATTGGTAATATTAATAGTCTAGTGGCATGAATAGTAAAATGATGCAATAACATTAAATTTATGTTGTGACAATAAATTTGTACATTAATATAAACACTACATTAATAATATTTATTTCAATAATCACACTAAATAAGTAAGAAATTATAGCCTAATTGATATTTTTTCAGTATCATATTAGTATCAGTAAATAAATTTGTTACTCTTTGTTCATCGGCATAATAATTATCTTCGTATAACTTTCAATTAGTAAATCAGTAGAGGTTAACACCAAATCACATTATTTAAAAGAAAATAAATCGGCACATTATCATGTACAAGTCAATCAGTATTCAACCAACGTTAGTGAATAATTAGTCTTGACTTGTCCCCCCCCCACCCAAACACATTATTATGACAGTACTAAAACAACAATAACGACTAGCTATTATATAATTACATATTCACATTCATTTTTAATGTTAGAATAAACAATATGCTAACAATAAAATTATAAGTTATTCAATCAGTAGAAACAATACAAAATATAGTAACATATAACATTTAATTATTGTTACAGTCAAAATGCTCTGGATAATCGGTATGATAAAATGCAAAAAGTTATGCAGTAAAAAATTCAATAAATTTGAAGAAAATACAATAAAATCAGTTCATAGGAGAATCAAACAGCAAAAATAAAAATATTTGAAAACAAAGATATGATTAGAATCACCTACAGCTACAGTGATTTGAGAAATATTTATAAAAGCGACAAAGCTATCCTGTCGCTAAAAGTCGACTTTCTCCCTTTCTCTCCACCACGCTTCAATTCAAACAGAAAACATATTTTTTTCATTTTCAATTATTTTCAGAAATTCAGATAATTACACTTATGATGTGTATGTTCTGTGAAAACTTTAATGTTATTGCAAACTTCTTTGATGTGTGCGTACTGTGACAGTAAGTTTTTTTTACGGTTCCAAATCCCTAAACAATATTTATCAATAACTTCATCATTTAAGTTGTTTGGTTAAATATAGCAGTCATGACCAATTCTTAAAAGAAAAATAAATTATAATGATTTATTAAAGAATTCTATCTTATTCACCATTTGAACTATATAAAATAAATCATCTTGCATATGTTAGGTTAAAATTATATGAATAAATTACTATATATTTATTAAGTGGGAGGTTTGAATTAGTTAACCTTTGTTTTTTCTCTCAACCAAGATCAACAGATGCTACGCAAATAAAACAAAATCTACGGCGCGCTTAGTCAGAGCCCCCCTCCGCTCCAAGCGGGAGCCGGAGATCACGCGGTGGCGATCTCGCCTTCCATCTCTTTCAGATAAATCGTTAGTTTCTGCTTCCATCCGTCGGATCCCTTCGCCACTCCGCGTTTTTAGTCCCCTGAACCTCTTACTCTCTCTCTTCTGGTGCAAGTCCTCCACGCTTCTCTTCGTTTTTTTTTATCTGCTTTATATTGTCTGTGTACTTTCATTGTTCTGAGAAAGGCTCGGTTGTGTCGTGCAAGCAAGCAGAAGAGTGGCGTTTGGGTGTGTGTTTTTATTCCTGTTGCTTGTTGTAGGGAGTTTGATTCCTATTTTTATGAGATCGGGGAAGGGAGGGAGTAGTGGCGGTTTAGGGTTTATTCATTGGAATCCTCTTTTTTTGGGTGTGATTTAATTTTGGGGGGAATTTCGGTTAATGGATCTGTGTTTCTAGAGACATCTTCAAGTATTTAGTGGAATTGGGTGGGGTCTATGGGCTGTTTTTGCTCAAAGGGGATCGAAGGAGAGAAGCTAGTCCACGGCAGGAGAAAGAAGCCCCTGAAGAGATTGGCTGCTTCATCTGAGAAAGAAGACACAGTGGTAACGGCTGTCGGTGTAAGTTTGGGTACGGAATCTATTGATCGAGGGAGGGAAAGGCTGATACCGGAGCCGGAAGAGAATGGCATCAACCCGTATCCTCTCCTGCTTGGTAATGGAACCGTGAAAGATGCAACTACGTTTGAAAAGAGCAAGAAGGTTGCAGTTCAAGAGAGATGGGATAGCCGTGATGGGTGGGCGGAACAAGTTGGCCTGGTTTCAGTTGGTGATGAGGCTGGAGATAATCAGCAGCAGAAGCAACAGCAGCAGAATCTAGTGATCCCCAGTGTGAAAAATGGGACTATTGCGGAGCATGTAGCAGCTGGTTGGCCGTTCTGGCTCACTAAGGTTGCTGGGGAAGCAGTGAAAGGGTGGCTGCCTAGGAAACTTGATTCTTTCATCAACATGGAAAAGGTTATCTTTCTTTGCTTGCATAACCTAGACGTGAATTACTTTCGTTTGGTTTGTTTAATTTTTTCCGCTTCCGCTTTAATAGGATGGTACGTTTCTGATTGCATTGCAAATTGTTTTTGTTGTCTTATTTTAGTTTTAGATTTGTTGTGTTATGGAAGAGTCATGAATTATATATCTACATCTTATTCACATAGAGATAAGTGATCTTGACTGCAAGGCCCACTTTTGCGATGGTAGTCGGCCTTAGTTATCCTGTTGATAGGATTGATGTTAAATCCTAGCATTTGAGTGGAACCACCTGATGCTTCACACTAGGGTTGATGGGTCCTGTATTATTTTGGGGGGAAGGAAGGAGAGGGGGAACTATGCAAAGATGTAGTGGAAGTGGACTTAACTTGAACAGTGTTAAGGCACAAGAGAAGGAAGGTCGGAATTTGGGCGTAGGGTAGGTGGTGCAAGGGGGACTCAAGCCACAAGCTGCTAATAAAATGATGTGGATGGCATTTAGAGGACAAATCAAGTTTATTTGTAAGAGTGGCTGTTGAAAGGGACGGTGGTGGTAGAGAAGATAAAGCTGTTTGCATGGTACTAGGAAATGTGGAAGATTGCTTTCCATTGGAGAGATTATGAAGATGGGATTGATTGATTGGGTGATTAGAATTTTAATAGTTGAAAAGTTTGTATTTGGATGAGAAAAATGTTAGAGCCAATGGCTTGAACTTTTGTAATATTAGTGGCTTTCTTTTATTGTGTTGCTATGCTGTAGATATGTCTCCAGCCATGAAAACTTTGGTGACTTTAAGGAGGCCCTAATGAGTTGATGCTAAGATAAGGGTTTGTAGCTTGTAGCGACTGAGCTGCAAGACCACTAATATGGCATCTCATGTATTGGTGTTGTTGAGCCATCATTGAATAATGGAGGGTTCTTTGATCTGAGATAGATTATTAGAAGTGGTTAAAGGTAAAGTAAGTTAGGTAAGCTTGAGGGTTTTAGTGACTATTATGATCGGATGCTCCTGAATCATGTATGGCCTAGATGATGCTAGTTAGGCCAAGATATGTTGGACCGTCAATATATTACGAGAAACTTATTGGATCATTTAAAGGTGTGCTTGTCTAAATAGATTGGTTCAATTCTACCATCAAGTTTGGAGATCTTAAGTTACACCTACATGTTGGTGTAAATTTTGGAGTGTATGCTAAAGAATGACCGATCTATTGCCTATGAACTATTGCCCCTATTGCTAGATCCAAACCATCCAATTTAATGAAACAAACATAAATTGGAAGAAGCTTGATTTATGGCCTTAAACTCCATCTCCTCTTGCCTCATTCATAGTTTATCCATTGTTGCTACAATAGAACCATAATAAAAGCTTTGATGTAATAGCCAACTATTGAAGCCTTTGTCTGACCATCTTATCATCTATTGCAGTTGCTCATTAAGTGGATTTAAGGTCCTCATTGGGAACATAATCAAGCTTGTAATCCAAATTTTAGATTACCCAATCCAGCTTATGTTGGAAGCTAAATTATCATTCTTTCAAACACTTAGAAGAGGCATTAACAGAACCAAATTTAAATATCGGAAATTGTCGTTCAATATTTAGAGGGTTTGTTATTACCTAGAGGACATGTCCTCAAATTCACAAGAATAGGGAAGGTGAATATTAAGGAGCTCTAAGATGTGAATTTGATGAGGGAATGACCCACCAGTGAATTGTTGTGAGTTCATTGTTGTTGGTGTCTATAAGAGAATTCCATCATTGTTTAAAGCACCCTACAACCTTCCAGGTGCAAGTGTGGTTTCCCGGATCAAGCATAGATCAATCTTGTTGGGCTCGCCCTAGTGTGGGCTATGCTGGTAATGTGCTCAGTGAGCGCCATGTCTTGGTGGCTAGGTGGGTAGCTGGGCTGCATTGAACAAGTTGAATTATCTTTGAACAATTGGTGTGGCTGCATAAAGGTGCAGTAGAATAGTGTTTGTGGCTTGGAAACGTAGAAGGTGCAGTGGAATAGCGATGGGGGCTTCTATTTGGGCCATCACATGGAGGGGGAGAAGGAATGGAAAGTGGCATGGATCTGTCTTGAGGCAGGATTGAATTGGTGATGATGGATGAATCTGGCCATCGGTGGAGGGGGGAGGGGAAGCTGCTGCGGTGCCCACATGAGATTGGAATAAGAGGGAAAGATGGGCTTTTAAGAATTTTATCTTTATTTTGTTAGTTTTTTTACTTAATCTGCTCTACTTTATATTTATAGATGTACTAAATTTTAGGTAAATATAGCAGGTTGCTTATCAAGCTAGTAAGCCTAGTCATAGCCTACTTGAAACTAGATTATCCATAGATTATACTGATTGACTAAGTTGTAAGTGTCTTTATTGTAATGCCTGATGGAAAGGTTTGAGTACAATAAACTAGTTCCCTATGAAAGAAGAGATCTAGGAATTACAGCATTTGTATAGTTTGCTTGATCTCCTGGTTTGCTTCTCTGGATAAATGGGTAAATATGATGCAGGTTCACCGTACTATCTGAAGTTTTAACACTCACTACATAGCATAGGATATGAGCACTGGTAATTAAAATGTAGATTTTTCCAGCCATTTTACTCAACAAATTTTGCATTGAATTTCCTATTAGGAATGCCAAACTTCGAGCTTCTACCTTACTATCACATGTTCTCTAGAACTTTGATATTCATAAAATGTTTGCATCGGAATCTATTTAATTTTTTGTACTTTCAACTGTCTCAATATGGTAACAATAGGTGGCTATTCTTTGTTATTTTTTTCATCTTAAAAATATTAGTAATCAGAATTATATTTTATGGTTATGTCCTACTTTTTTTCCCCTGCTTTCCATGAATTTTTAATTACTTTTGCAGATTGGTCAAGGAACTTATAGTACCGTTTACAAAGCCCGTGATCTACTCACTGGCAAGATTGTTGCACTTAAGAAAGTGCGGTTTGTTAATTTGGATCCTGATAGTGTTCAATTCATGGCAAGGGAAATTTATGTTCTCCGTAGGCTTGATCATCCTAATGTTATCAAACTTGAAGGTCTAGTGGCTTCAAAAATGTCAAACAGCCTGTGGCTTATATTTCCATATATGGAGCATGATCTAGCTGGACTTGCAGCTAGACCTGGGATTAAGTTTACTCATTCTCAGGTGCTTGATTTAGCTTCTAAATAGTAATTTCTTAATCTAGCACAACTTATCTGAGTTTAGTGTTTCTCCTATTTTAATGTTCTTATTGTTTCAAGGAGTTTACTTTGGATTTCAGGTTAAGTGCTTTATGCAACAGCTATTCAATGGCCTAAACCATTGCCACAATAATGGGGTTTTGCATCGAGATATCAAGGGAGCAAACCTTCTCTTAAATGATGACGGCATACTTAAAATAGCAGACTTTGGTCTTGCTACATTTTTCAGCAATGAACCAAAGCACCCTTTAACAAGCCGAGTTGTAACCTTGTGGTATCGACCTCCTGAACTTCTGCTGGGTGCCCAAAAGTATGGAGCTTCTGTTGATTTGTGGAGTAGCGGTTGCATGCTTGCGGAGCTGCTTTGTGGGAAGCCTATCATGCCAGGAAGAACTGAGGTATTATTGGGATAACACATTGCATCCTTTGATGCGTACAAGTTACGATACAAGAGAGCATATAAAAAAAATGATGTTCAGATTTTAAATATTTTAAAATACTTTTCAAAGTTTTCAAAATATTTTAAATTATCTCAAAACTACGTAACTAGGGGTCCGATGGTTTTGGTAGTCTGAACCTATTGCAACACCTCGTGCTGATCATGAAGTATTATATTATACTCGAGTTGATGACAGTAGGCATTAACAAGTTATAGGTATCAAACTAGTAGCTGGTGATCATACCATATTGTGTGGATGATAGATTTGTCACATATATAGTTGATTGTTATGTGCAAAGTTGACCATCTTAATGGCGATTTTAGTAGTGATTTGAAGCTGAAATCATGCTGTGATGAGGAGGAACAGGTTTTAGAGAGGATTACTTCATACAAATTTTAGCCGTCCAAAATGTTCAGTTTTGGTCTGTTTGATCTGCATTGCATTGTTTGGGTGAGATTATCTAACCAATATTCTTATTCATGATTCGTGGTTTTAATTTATCGATCTGAACTGATTCAATTCATACTTATCTATTTTCTAACCTCACCTATGTCATTCTTCTGTTCTTTTCTAGGTTCTACAGAGCACAATCCTCTCCAAAGAACCTTTTTCCTCTGTCCTACCATGCATTGCAGCTCCTGTTCTCTTTCATTATTCTTTTTTTAATCTGCAAAACCCTTCTTAAAATTAAGCACTTGATGAGGTAGGCTAATAAAAACTTTTCCGTACCAAAAGAAGATGACATTCCTAAATTTGATTGGTCCACCGATGAAAGTGAGGTCCAAATGTTTTTTATTTTTAGTAGATTTTTTGCGGACTGTAGCATCACTCTTTTTTGTGACAGTTTATTTCTATAAGTGGTAGTCATCAATCCTTCTATTATATTACAAGTTTTAGAGCGCCTAAAAGCATTTTTTTTCAGTACTTTTCTTCCCTAATTGGATACGTGTTTAAAGGAACCGTATCCCTTGTATTTTTGTTAGTTTAGTATCAAGTGGAATATACTTTTCTCTTTCAGGCACCACATTGATGGTTTATAATGGCAGCTAAGAATTGTGAGCTTGATATCCAAACATGTGTTGTATTGTGTGTTACCGCTTTTCATCTGTGAGAAGTCAAATTTATAGTGCTCTAAGAGATTACTTAGCTCAACTTTTATCAGTATTCATACTGTCTTGCACAGTTATTTGCACATGAATTGGGAAGCTCTTTTTTTTATTATGAGGAAATAGTATGTTATATTATATGATATGTTTGAACTTGCATTAATTACTCCGATCACAGGTTTTTAAAAATTAATCAAGTCTGGATAACGGTGAGTAAATATTTATTCTGAGTGTTCCTCATAAATTCTAACATTGTTGGAAATGTGAGCTATTTTTCCATCCTTAAATAGTTTCCTTTATGTGAACGGTGCTCCTCTTAAATTTTACTCTTGATGCATATGTTATGTATTGCATCTTATGACTTATTTCCTTAAATAGTTTCCTTTATGACTTGATGTGAGTAATTTTTTAGGTTGAACAACTGCACATGATATTTAAGCTGTGTGGTTCACCTTCAGAAGAATACTGGAGGAAGTCGAAGCTGCCACATGCTACTATCTTTAAACCTCAACATCCTTATAAAAGTAATATTAGTCAGGAATTCAGGGACTTTCCGTCTACTGCTGTAGCTCTTTTAGAAAGATTGCTTGCAGTAGATCCAGCTGATAGGGGAACTTCTTCTTTGGCCCTCGCAAGTGAAGTAAGTTTCTGATTTTCTTTTAATAGTTTCAGTCTGCTGTCTTGTCAGTTCAATTTAATTTCTAAGTGCCGGTTTTCTGCTACTTTATGCTTGAAGTTAGATCTCTTGACTCTGCAAAGTTTCATACTCACTTTCCAAATTGCATTAGATGCAATAACTGGTAATTAAGGTCACCCTTGCTTTTGATTTTTGCATTTATTTATATCAATGATCCTACTATGGCATCACCATTCTAGTACTTTCAATTTTGATAAGTGGACTCAAACTTCACAGAAGTTATGCTGAATAGGTTGGGAAAGAGGAGAAGAAGGTGCACCTTTTAATTCCTTGATTGTCGAGAAGGTTAGAGGAAGAAATGAGGAGGTAAATTGAAGAAATGGATTGGTAGATTATAAGAATGTGTACCTAAGCGGAAGAGAGGTATGAAGTAGAGACAGGGAAAGCTAGGAAGAAGCCTCATGGCTTTTTCTATTGTGAGAATGAGTGCCATATAGAAAGAAGGGTCTATTAAGCTGGAGAATTCTGGACAGCTCTTTTATATTTTTATTCCAATAATCAAGCATCATTATATTCATAACTCAAGACTGATGCATATGGTAGCATTCATAATTTTTGTGGACGATCACATTTTTTATGGACGATCTAATCTTAAAATAATGTGAAAATAACATGCATAGTGGTGAAAATTAATCATTTTATCATTGACAAGTGATAAAACAATAAATAAGTTCAAATGACTAATTGACAGCATCCGTTTTGATTAAAGACTATAGCCATGATATAAGACATTTAACTTAGTGCAAAGAGTCAAAACTAATTACTTAACGTAGATGTCACAAACTGCATATAGCGAATTATCCTGCATTATAGTGTTGGATCCTAACACAATAAATATGAGGTTGATATGTAAAACCTAAGCCCTTTAAATGCATCTATAGTAAAGGTCATGGTTACAGCAACAATAACATAAGTCTTTATCCCAATTTGTGGGGTGTAAAACCTAAGCCTTTTAAATGTGTCTACAGTATAGGTGATGGTTCTAAACCTTAAATTGCATCTATGTCCTCAAGTATAAATTTATGATTGTATCATTTCAATTTGCTTTTTTGAGTTCTCAGTTTGGTTATTTCTACCTGTTTAGTTGTTGCCTTTAGAATAAAGTTAAGCTACTCGGAAATTTTCGTTCTTTCCTTGATATTCTGGGTGTAAAAGAGCTGAGTTCTCATTCTTGCACTGAAATTTAGGGTGTAAACCAGCTAACATGAAAGAATTGGGATTTTTCTCATCTAATGAGCTGAAAAATGTTGTTCGTATTTACTTGTTTATTTTCAAGTTGGCTCGAACCAAAAATAAATTGAGCTAGCTCTTGTTCATATTCAACTCCCTTAGTCAACTAAAAGATCTTGTTTTAGCTTGGCTTGGCTTTCTTGTAACAAGCCAAGCTTGAACCACTCATTGAGGCAAACATGAGTTGTTTGTGAACATCCATCTTTTTTTCTTATGCTTCTTTCTGGATTCCTGGGTATAAATCTAGATTTTGCTAGCTTTTTTTATGAGCTTATTTTTAGTTATAGCATGACTTTTTTCTCATGCTGCTCCATCAAAGGGTGAATTTGTTTTCTTTTTAAACTTTCAGTTCTTTACTGTGGAGCCAATTGCATGTGATCCTTCAGACTTACCTAAATTTCCTCCTAGCAAGGAGCTTGATGCTAAGAAGCTTCGGGAAGTGGAAGCTGGAAGGTATATGAATTTTTTATAATCATTGAGCTTATTTGCATAGCTTTGCTGTTAGTTCTTGGGGCTGCTGAGTCTGTTTTATTTTCACCATAAAAAACAAATAAAGTGCACCAATTTTAACAAACTTCACAACTTTTATCTTTAGGCAAAGAGAGGCAGCTAAGATGGGAAATGACCGTGAATCTGGAAGAAAAGAGTTGAAAAATTCCAACGGAATGGCAATTTTAGATGCGAATGCGGAATCACAGGTATATTGCTTATTGGATTGTACTGAAATTCTTTTTGATTTTTTGGTCGAAAATGGATCATTCAAGTTCATTTGTTAACCTTGATTCTTTTTGGGATCATTTGTTTATGTGAAGGTTGACACATGTTGATTAGGGTGCTAGAAATCGTGCTTAACAATGTTTACTTCAATTCTAATTCATATACTTAAATTTGCTTTTTATCGTTTCATAATTCTTTTTTCATTTATTCATATTAAGTGGTACAGTAAATACAAATATATTTTCATAAATCCTTGTGCACTACGGCTATGATAATGTGTTGAATTAAGTTATAATGTCATACTTTAAAACTATGGAGAGGGTTATGGAATATAGGTTGCGGCATGACACTAATATTTCTCAAAATCAATTTGGATTCATGCCATGTAGGTCTACTATGGAAGCTATACATATATTAAGAGGTTTATGGAGAAGTATAGAGAGAACAAGGAGGATCTACATATGACTTTTATTGATTTAGAGAAAGCATATGATAAAGTTCCAAGAGAAGTGCTATGGAGAGTTCTACATAAGAAAGGGGTTAATAATGCTTATATTCAAGTCATTAAGGATATGTATGCAAGAGTTGTTACTAGTGTTCAAACGCAAGGTGGTTTAACCAAGTATTTTCCTATTTCAGTTGGATTACATCAAGGATCAACCTTATGACCATATATTTTTGCTTTTGTCATGGATGTTCTCACTATACATTTGCAAGAGGTTGTACCCTGTTGTATGCTTTTTGCTGATGATATTCTTCTTGTTGATAAGACTAGAGAGGGAGTTTAAGGTAAACTTGAATTATGAAGGTTAACCTCAGAGTCTAAAGGTTTTCATTTGAGTAATCTAAAATTGAATATATGGAGTGTAATTTTTGTAATAATAAATCTAGTGAGGGGATTGTGATTTTGGGCGATCAAGTCATTAATAAGAGTACACGTTTTAGATATCTTAAGTCTATTGTTCAGAGTGATGGTGAAATAGATTGGGATATTATTAGTAGAATTCAAATTGGATGGTTGAAGGGGAGGAATGCATCAAGCTTGTTGTGTGATAGAAAAGTCCCTCTCAAACTTTAGTGAAAATTTTATAAGAGGGCAGTGAGACATACAATGCTTTATGGTGCAGAATGTTGGCCATTAAAAGAGAAGCATAATGTTAAGTGTTGCAGAGATGAGGATGCTCGAGTGGATGAGTGGCTTTACTCTTAGAGACATGATACAAAATGAGCTTCTACGTGAAAAGGTTGGAGTAGCTCCAGTGGAAGATAAGATTAAAAAGAGTTGCCTTAGATGGTTTGGTCACATAAAACAGCGGTCTTTCATTAACCCGGTTTGGAAAGTAGATGTATTAGATTTGACTTATGTTAAGAAAGGTAGATGTAGACCTAAAGAAATGTTTGGTTAGAAAATATTAGAAATGACCTTTCTTTATTATATTTAGATGAGAATTTGACCCTTAACAGGACATAATGAAGAAAAAGTATTCATGTAGCTGACCCCACAGTGGGATCAAGGATTGTTTTTGTTGTTGTTGTTGTTGTTTGCACACTACGCCTAGCTTACCTTTAGGTCACTTTTTAATAAATCCTTCCACATAAATTATATCTAATTGTCTTATTGATTAATTTTTTAATCATTTTTTATACATGCTTAAACCATCCAAGTAAATTTTTTTATGATCTTTAACATGTTGCATCCGTGTATCTCTAGTATAATTATTTATGATATTTAACACACATTATTGGTGAATTGTTTGTTGCTTGGCACGCAAATCCATTTAACATAAGTACCTGCATTGTTGTTTGATAAATTTTCTTTTAATTTTATATGATAATCTCTTATCACATATTCTTTTCAAATAAATTCTTCAGTTTTACTCAAAATTTAACTCTAAATGATATATTCTCATCCATATCCTAGTTTTATATAATCGATTGATGTACTTAAACCTATCATATTTGAGTATTGCTTTATCTTCTTGCAATTTTGATTGGTAATAATAATTATTATTTTTATATCCACTTAAATGACATTTTGTTCGCAAATTTAGCCCCTTTTATAGAAGTTTCTTTTATTATTCTGATTTTAGCTTTATTTGGTGGATATCTCAGGTATTATTTATGCAAATCAAGGTAATATTTTTTGTCATCATTAAGATCAACGTATAAAAAAATGTTGACTTAATTTGATCTTCGATATAAAGGAGAATGAGAATCATGAGAGGGTGAGCACATGAGGAGGAAGAGAGTAGCATGAACCTTTAATAAGGCTCTAAGTCTTGAAGAGGAAGGTGGATAGACGCTGAAGGAAACCACCACCAAAAGATCTGTAGTGGTAAGGAAGGAGAATATGTAGAGAAAGTGAAATCTTGCCCTTTAAAATGATCTCCGACTTTCACCTCAAGCCTTGCTTACAAGTAAACTTTTTATAGCGAGGTCAGACATTTTTTGACCAATTTGATAAAGCCACTGCCACGGACCTTAGAAAAAGATTTGAGAGATTGCGAGGACTTGGAGATTCATTTTGCATACGTTAGCCTTAAAGCCATCCACCCACTGAAGTGCCTGCCAAAATTATAATGTTTACCTGACTTTCTAATAGATACAAATATTGAGTAGACTTCAAATACTTTCTAGAGAGTCAGCAAAACTCAATATCTACCCAAAAAAAGCAATTTTGAGTTGTATGCACGGCTTGAAAGTAAACTTGACCCAATTTTCATTATTTCAATAGTTATTTTTGCAGCTAATTGAAAAAAGCTTATAAATTTTATGATGAATTAAAACTAATGTTACTAAAGCTGCTGCCAATCTCTCATGGCTACTTGGTCCAGAGTTTCAAGCTTCGTATTCTCATGGGGAATGATCAATGAAGTGGAGAAATCCTTTTTTCTTTTCGGAAAAAGAGAATAAATGCTTATTTACACTATTTTGTAGCACTTTTTTATGTCTTTCATTATGACAATGTACATGTTATTCCTCTTCATTGACTACCCTTTTCGATAATCTATTTTTTTGAACCCTTTGTTTCCTATCTCCAAGATGATATCATCTAGCAATAAAAAAAGAAAGAGAGGAAGAGTTTGTTCCTCTTTTTGCACTCCTGGCAAGAAAAAGATTCCATTATATATGTTAAAAGACATTAATTAAGGCCACTTGAAATCATTACTTAGCACTCGTTGAATATCATAAACAGCATGGTTAATAACTGTGGTTGGCCTTATATTGTAGTTGCCATGTTTATCAATTGTAAATAGAGAAAATTTGATTACTTTACTGTGCAATAGAAGCAGTCCTGGGTATAGATTTTATTTATGGAATTCAAGACGTTCTATACAATTTATTTGTTTTGGATCTTCTGACATTCATCATTGCTTTTCGCTCTTACTGTTTGGTGCGCAGCGTTTGCATAAGAATTCTAGAAGCAGCAGTGTTAAGCACAAACCACGGGAAGATACTAGCTTTTTTTTCCTGAATGATCATCCTAGAGGAATGACGGAGAACGGCTTTGCACGCCGTGAAGGATATGGTCTGTCTGTGAGTAAGAGCTCGAAAGAGGATTCACGGCACGCCGTGCCTGGACTTTTGTCTTCAAATTCTGGCAAATTGAATTCTTCAAGGAGTCAGAGATCTCACTTGACCAATGGAAAAGTTGCCAGGTTTTCTGGCTTATCAGGTCCACTGGAAAGTAGCCTTGCCTCAACAAAGTTTCCTAATCATAGAGATGGTCATGATCAATCCTACCATTCCAGGCAGCTTCAAGTTTCATCACACAATCAGCTTGATGTTGGAAATGCTTCTGCCACTTACCAGTTATTTAATAGGCGTTCCTCTTCTCATAAGAGGGATGAGAGAGGAAGGGATTTGACAGCAGTAAGTCCTGTTCTTGTTAATTTCCATTTAGCCCATTGGATAGTTTGCTCTTCTCAGGAAATTGCATGATATAAACTTCAATTAATGATAGATTTAAATATCAATTAACGTCACTAGAACAAACCTGGACTTAGGCATAGTGATCTTCACAGCCAAACCGTTTAAGCCATCTTTAATAGAGCATGTGTGATGTGTTGTATTTTTAGGCCTGTAGTATAAATTTGCACTGTTGCATGTTTAAGCTTGGTTTGCATTGCAGTCTTATCATGATAATAATATCTGAATCTCGTATGTGTATTTTCAAGATATTTTAGAATGGCATGGAAAAAACCTTTCTAGTTTATCCTGCTATTTGAGTTCCTGAGAAAGGTTGGCTTGAGCCTTTAGCCCGGGAAATTAGGGCATCGACAGCCTTGCTGATTGTTGGGCGGGTTTGAATGGTTTATTTTATCTGAATCCATGTCTAGGTCCAGGTTGGTTAAGGCCTTTGAAAAAAATCTGTAATATTCAACCCAATCAGAACCCAACTCAGTATACCCAGGTCTAAAGTTATATTAAATCTGTATTTTAGGCTTTGTTTGGAACTGCTTTTTTATTAAAGCAGCTTACTAGTATAAAAATTTTAATTTTTGTATTAAAACTACTTTAAGAAGCAATAAGAAAGCCATCCCGAACGAAGCCTTAGTCTTTGCTGAGAGCAGCGTCTTTTTGAATTGCAATAAATCTTAGATGGTCTTTACACATTCAATTTAGATTGTTTATAGAATTTTTAGTGCATAAATAACTCCCATTTTCTTTTATCTCTCAAGAAATTTTTTTGCTTGTTTGCAAAAATTTATACTAGGAGCTTCTGACGTAGTTGTGATAAGGAGCGGCTTTTCATGGTAACATTAATCATATGTTTTGACATGGCCAGCCAGAGTCAGCTGTATATTTTATATAAATGCCTAAAATTTTTTGTTGTCTTCAAAATTAGTATAAACGTCTTTCATTCCTTAAGCATTCTATGTCAAAGCAGGACAATTATAGTATGATTATAATTTTTTCTTCTATAATATATACTTCGCTGAATACTTGGAAAAACTGTGAGTCAGGATATTCTAACCCATATTTAAATTTTAATCAATTAGTCTTATATTGTCTTGATTATTGAAGTTTTACGCTGGTTGTCGACTACCTAAAGTAACCTTCCATTTTTCTCATCGAGGACTTGGGACCTAGCAACGGACTTAGAAATGATCTTTCTTTATTAGATTTAAATGACAATTTGACTTTTAACACTGCCGTTGCCAGGTCCCAAGTCCTGGATGAGAAAAGTGGAGGGTTGCGTTAGGTAGTCGATTGTAGCCAATCACACGTAGTGGGATGAAGGCTTGATGTTGTTGTTTTAGTCTTATGTTGTACTTATTTCAAAGCAAATATGATGGTTATAAATAAAATCCATCCTGATCTTATGTCAATTAGAATACCTTAACACAAATTTTGTACCTAAAACTTTCTAAATTTTCTCCAACATCTTAACTTACATATTCCTCGCAGCACATTTTGATATGCTTCTAATAACCAATAACTTTTGAATGGTCCCAGGCTTATGAGCACAAGAGAAACAGAATAATGTACTCAGGACCATTGATGCCCACAGTGGACAACATTGATGAAATGCTCAAAGAACATGAGAGGCAGATCGAACAGGCAGTACGCAAAGCTTGCATCAAGAGAAAAAATGATAAAATGTATGGTGTGAAAAGCCAGTCTGAAACCTTGCTCTTGACTGGCAGAATTTGAAGATATGCTTAAAGGCTAAAGCTACTGATTTCAAATAAATGGCCTTCTATGGAGCTAAGGAAATTTCATCAAATGGGTAATTAATTTCTTCACTAATTTATGTTTGTTACCATAAATTAGTTCACATACTAAGTAAATTACACAGCTGACTTGTTTTTGTTGGCTGAAATATCCAGTTTATAGGTCAATTTCACAGCTGCTTAATGCTTTTATCCTCCAGTTAGAGCTTTTAGATTTTTTTTTTTTTTTTTCATTTCTTTTGTTTCTTTTTATCTGTAGGAAAAGTTATGAGATAAAATGTTAGGTTTTTTTGGCCATTTGGCTTAGTTGGAATGTTACAGAGGACATTATTAACCTGAAGTATGTGGGAGGTTGAAAAAATGGGCCTCCCCTGCTACAGGCCTGGAATTGAATCTATTTATTTAGCTGGTTACTTTTGTACATAATATGTAAAGTTCTTTTAGCAGTTTCTTTATGATTTTGTTAAGTTGTTTCTGTTTATTTTTAGGTTTATTTATTGCTTATTATGGAGAGAATTGGTCATTGAAGTTGGATTGTTCTCTCCATTCTACAATAACATGAATCTTTTTTCTCCATTGTTTTATTAGGAGTCAAATTCTCATTTAAATCTAATAAAAAATTATTTTTAATACTTTCTAATTAAGGTTTCATTTGGGACGGCTTTTTATTGCTTCTTAAAGCAGCTTTCTAGCATTAAAATTAAATTTTTTTGTACTAAAAAGCTGCTTTAAGAAGCAGTAAGAAAGCCGTTCCAAATGTAGCCTAAGTCTTTTCGATCTATCTCTATCTTTTTTAATATAAGTTAGATCTAATATATCTACTCTCCTAATCGGGTTATAAATGACAAGAATTATATGTGAATTAAATTTTATTAATTTTTTAATGACTTAATTATTCATCAAGGCTATGAAAAATAGAAGGATGATATCAAAATATATAAAATTCTTTTTAGAAGTTTAGGTATTTTACTTGTTAAAATCATCATATAGAGAAATTATTATGTGGAGTTGGGATGATGGAAGCGGCCGGATTGGCTGTGTTTTTATTGAGTTTTTGCTGAGCATTTACAAATACACGGTAAATATTTAGATAATTTTTTATTATTTTTTAAATTAATTTTTTTAGTATAAAATTAAAGAAATGTATTGAAAAACTGACGTATAATGCAATAAAAAAAGCTGTTCTGAATGAATTTTTTTTTTGGGACATTTAGGTCATTTAAGGCAAACTCATACATACAATGCATACACAAAGACTCGAACCCAAAACCTCTTAGTTGGAAGCATAAGCTCTCAACCAACAAGTCAAGGTGAGTTGTGTCTGTTCTGAATGAAGTTGTTTGGTTTTTTTTTTTTTTTTGCTTTTAAGAAATTTTTTATTCGAGGATGCTATTTTTTACAGGAGCTTTAAAAAAATTAATTTTTTACAATAATTTTACATCATCTTTATAAAATACTGCAATCTTGTTAAATGAGATAAATTATTATATGTGGAGTTCGGATGACGGGAATCGGCCGGATTGGCTGTGTTTTTATTGAGTTTTTGCTGAGCATTTACAAATACTCGGTAAATATTTAGATAATTTTTCTATTATTTTTTAAATTAATTTTTTTAGTATAGAATTAAAGAAATGTACTGAAAAACTGACGTAGAATGCAATAAAAAAAAGCTGTTCTAAATGAAGAAATCGCGATTCATATTAAATAAATTAAATAATATTTGTTAGTCTTTAATATTTGTATACATATAATTTATTGAATGTTGTTGAAACGGTTTTATAAACATATTGTAACAGCGATTTTCGTGCATCTCAGTATTAAAAAAAGAAAGCGGGAGCGCGCGAAGTCCCATCAAATACCAAACGGTGGGTCCACCGCTCAATTCGCGATCAAAATCAGGGATTATAGTAATCGAAAACCGCACCGCAATCTGTTACCAAACACATGGGATATTTACGCTATTTACACTGCAATTTTTATATTTGCAAAAAAATGCAACATTCATACTCATTTTTATGATTATCAAATTAATGCAGTCATAAATATCATTGAAAAATCGCACCATCATTGTTAACATATCGCGATCAAATTATATTTGTTGATGCAGTTCATAAAGTTATTTAAAAGAAATGTGGAGATGGGAGAAATTTGTAAATAATTGTTGGGAGAAATAGAGGTTAGGAAAATTTCAGGGAATGAATTTAAGCTTTTTGATATGTGAAAGGATTAGGCTAAGGGAGACCGACAATTACTCCTGAAAGTGGAAGCATACTAATTGAAATGAAATTAAAATCTTTTTTTTTTTTCCGTGAACTCTAAAGCTTACTCCTCCCTCGAAATCCTAAACTTAAAGAACGTTGACTCGACAAGGTTATTTGTAGAATCTTTCAAACATAGAATTATTTTGTGCAGAGATTGGACGCAGAACGTTGTTTGCAGATCAATCAAAATGTGGCACGTCAACAGTGCCAAGCTGCGGTACCGAACTAAGGGGTGACGTGGCGCGTTCTGGTTGGTGTTCGGATGGCGTTTGGTATTTGCACAAATTAATGAATGCAAACAAACACAAACACCTTTACTAAGGATGATTACATAAGAAAGAGACAGAGACTCATCAAATCACGATGATTCTCACACTATAGAGCAGTGTTCACTAATGAAGGAGGAAGATGCTTCAGTATGAATTCTCTCATGTGCTTGTGTTGAGAAATATTGGATGAATATAGTATATGTAGGAATTAGATATATATATATATATATTCCATTTATAAATTTTATTTATACATTCCCCAGCATCCATAAAATTTAATGTTGCACTACATAATCACACTTCTAAGTTCTAACAAACAAATTTCACATTTTAATATCATTCACATTTCATAAAAGTCATAACCACTTTTTAAAAAAAGAAAAATAGAAAGCTAGCCACCAAACCTTCATCATTATCACACACAAGTCTCTATCTCTCTCCCTCCCTCCACTTTGCTTCCACTACAAGAACAACCTCCTCATTCAAACCTTCCTCCACCTTCTTCTTCTTCCTCACCACTCCCCCAACAACCCAAAAAAAGCCCTAGAAACTCAATCCCCTATTCTTCCTTCTTCTTCTTCTTCTTCTCCCATGAAAGCGAAGCTTTCCTCCTTCCTCAGAAAAATGACTTGGTCCAGAATCCAAAACACCCTACATATAAAGCTCCTTCTCCTCAGCCTCCTCCTCCTCTTCCTCTTCCTCCTCCTCCTCCGCCCCACCCCCTCCTCACCCCCATCGCCAGCAATCACCACAACCGCCTCCACCAGCACCACTACCACGGCTCCCGCCGCCGCCTGTTATTCGAAGATCCCGGAAAGCCTAGCGGAGACAATCATCCACTACGCAACCTCAAACACCACCCCGCAACAGACCCACGCGGAGATCTCCGTCACCGCTCGAGTTCTGCGGCATCGTTCCCCGTGCCGATTCCTCGTCTTCGGCCTCGGTCTGGATAGCCCTATGTGGGCCGGACTCAACCACGGTGGCCGCACCGCCTTCCTCGAAGAAGACGAATCCTGGATCGCCACCGTTCGCGCCCGATTCCCCTCGCTGGAAACCTACCATGTCCGATACGACACCAGAGTCCGCGACGCCGACGCGCTGATGGAGATCGGAAGGCGGCCGGAGTGCTCGTCGACGGAGACGACGGAGCTGAGGGGTTCACTTTGCGGGCTGGCGTTGAAGGGATTGCCGGATGTCTTTTACGATGAAGAATGGGATCTGATAATGGTGGATGCGCCGACGGGTTGGATACCGGAGGCGCCGGGGAGGATGGGGGCGATTTACACGGCGGGGATGGCGGCGAGGGGGAGGAAAGCGGAAGGGGAAACCGATGTATTTGTGCATGATGTGGATCGGAAGGTGGAAGATGAGTTCTCCAAGGAGTTTTTGTGTGAGGGTTATCTGCGAGAGCAGGTGGGAAGGCTCCGCCATTTTAGTATTCCGAGCTACAGGAAGAAGAAGCTGCCCTTTTGCCCTTAAAATTTTTGTGAGATGGCTTTGTTGGAATTATCACAATTTTTTATCTTTGCAATATAATGTTTAGGAAAAATATTTGTCTTTCTTCCAATAGCTTTATCAAATTTATTTTTTGAGATAAATATATGATAAAAATTTGAATGGATAGTTTGTATGTTACATTCATTTCAAAATAAATCTAATAATTTGAGGTTTATTTTGATATAATATTTCCTTAGAATGTATTCTTAGTCTATTAGATATGAATTATATTCACTTTAAAATAAATATAAGTGTTATGAAATGTATCAATGATTAAATTTGAATTATGGTATACACCTTATATTTTCTCTTGATTTTTATGTGAATATAGTTCTTCAGCTGAAGAGATTATTCTATGCGAACACCGGATCATTCGGGGGTGAATCAGAATATGTCACATCACTCTGTACGTACAAAGCGGTACAAAGCTGCGATACATAGTAAAAAAGTTCATGACGCATTCTGACTCGCCTCCGGACTGTGTTCGTATCCGCACAGAATAATTATACCTTCATCTGTCGCCGTTGAAAATAAGTTTTCTCAATATGACAATAAGCACCACATGCGTCGTTGATTTGTAAGAAAGAGAGGGAAGGGTACCCCATGCATCCAACGCATGTGGTAAAAAAGGACCACAAGAGAAACATGAGTTGATATGAGGTTTCCGAGTAGGGTTAGCCCAAATGCTTGAATTAAGAATTTTTCTTAGGGCATCTCCAATTTGAAACTTCATTTCTAACATTAAAATTCAATAGCTGACATCAAATAATAATTCATCTTCAATCGAACTTCATTTCTAACATTAAAAATATATATATTTCTAACCCAAAAAATGGGTTTTGTGACTGGTGTGACTGTTCATAGAGAGATAACAGATAAAAAATGTATTTCCATTTGCCATTCGGATGGAGGCTTGCAAGAACTGCAAACAAGCGAATGATGTTCAATTGGGGATACCAGTGAATTATTGGGTTCGAACACTGGACAAAGCTTACAGTTCGGTACTTCACAGTACAGAGCAGTACTTTACTCGGTACTGTGAAGTATGGAGTTCGGTACTTCATAGTACCGAGAAGTATTGAGCTCGATACTGCTTGGTACTGCTCAGTACCAAGTAGAGGGCGATGTGGCGCATTTTCAATGGCTCCGGACGGCATCCGGTGTCCAAACCCAATAATTTCCCCATCCAGAGCATTCCCAAGAATACATTAGAAGGGTTGGATGGTTTGTGGTAGAAGTTTGTTGTGTGAAAGATCAGAACAGTGAGATTGTTGGCATTGCATGGGTATCATAGAAGATTAGAAGTAACCAATGTGATCCCTAAACTTGAATTAGTGCGGTTTAATTGCTAATTAAACAATTTTAACCCTAAAAATTGATAGTTAAAAGGGAGAATTAGATGTTTGATTGTACTTAATGATTTTGTTTAATATAATCAATTGAAATACAACACATTAGCATACAATGGTGCGTATATGATCTGTATATGGAAAGCAAAATAGCATGTGAATTATAAAATTGATATGTAGACTGTATAATAAAACAAATAAATAATGAATAACAATATATATAATTTGTACAACTAAAGAAATTATGATCAGTACAATATATAAAAATGGATATTCCAGATCTAAACTCAACTACCATTTTGAAATCAGAATAATGAATAACAAAATGCCGAGATCTTAATCATAGTAAAGTTCATTCTCTCTCTCTCTAGAGCAATTACTATGTCAGGTCACCGGACGCGTCCAGAGACCAATAATCACGCGCCACGTCACCAGGAGCTCGGTATTGAGCACTCGGTATTGCTCGGTATACGTCCGGATTTTCAATTTTTTTTTTTTTTCGGACGTAATAATTACTCCTCTCACACACACATATTGGTGAAATATGGATGCTCGTTTGATTGTTTTGGCCCAAGCAATTATTTAAATAAAAAAGTAAATTAAGCTCGTGTTCAACTAGTCTCTAATTGGATTTGATGGTCTGGGTTTTAGCACGTTTTGTGAAATGGGCTAATATGAATGAAGAATTTCAGCCCACTATCCAAATAAAATAGTCACTCAAAGCCCATTATGGGCCAGTAGGGGCCAATTACAGCCCAGATTAAGTGGACAAGCAGATGGGTAAAGTTAATTCTAATGCATCATTTGTATGTAGCTTTCATGACTTACATAAAAAGGTATCTATACATAATGAATAGAAAAATGAGAAATATTTTAGCGCCCAAAAGTGAGAAAATAAAAATAAAAATCCTGCAAATAATTAGGCTATAATTCATAGATGATCTAAGTGCTTTAAAACACTGAGTTTATAGCAGTTTGAATGATAAATTACCTATTGGTAGCATTTTACTTACCTATTAAAAGTTGCAAAGATTATTTAGGGATCATTTGAATAAGTATGTTGAAATCAATTCTTCCATTTGAAATCTTCAAACCATAGGAATTAATGTAGGATACCAAAGAGGTTCAAATCAAGAGCAAAGTCATCACTTTATATAGCCTTTCATTTCAAAAACATCTTTATTCTCTTTGCCTTTTAACTATGATATATGCTTAGATTGTAATAACCTGAAATTTTCTGAAGAGAAAAAAAAATAATATAAATTTCTATTTGCTCTAATGTGCTTCAGCGCTGAGATTGTTAACGCTGCAGCGCTTGGCCTATGTGTGCATTAATAAGCTCATCACCACAACGTTTCAGTTCAAATAGAAGTTCAAATTCTCTTTTTTTATTTTCAGATTTTTTTCAAGTTGTTAAGAAGATAATGGATTTAATGTGTGGAGAATCTTGATAAAGAATACTACAATTTCATGCGGGGAATTCGGACCTTCAGCTCCTCTCAATTCTATCACCCCTCATTTTCTTCTCCAAAACAAATTTAAAATTTAAAATCATTCTCTCAAGCCATATGTCTCTATTTTCTCTCTCTTCTCTGTGAATTTGAGTTGCATTGATGATGATATAATGGGATTTAAAAAAAAATTATATTATTCTAATATAATACGTATCAGGACGAACCTAAGAACAATTAAATTTACATTGCGAATTAGTATTGTAAATGAAGAGTTTGTTGTGTGCTAATCTTAAAGTATGTACATTAATTTAGAAATTCATCGTAATATTATTTGTATCAGAATTATTTTATCATCAACATTGAATTTCCAAAAATTAAGCTAAGTGTTGCAGAGAAGAGGATGCTCAGGTAGATGAGTGGCTTTATTCTTAGAGACATGATACGAAATGAGTACATAAATGAAAAGGTTGGAGTAGCTCCAGTGAAAGTTAAGATTAGAGAGAGTCGCCTTAGATGGTTTGGTCATATAAAATGACGGCATTCCGATGACCCGGTTAGGAAAGTGGATGTATTAGATTTAACTTATGTTAAGAAAGGTAGAGGTAGACCTAAAAAGACTTGGTTATAAAATATTAGAAATGACATTTTTTTATTATCTTTTGATAAAAAATTGACTCTTAACAGAACACAATAGAGAAAAATGATTCATGTAGCCGGCCCCACTTGGTGGGATAAATGCTTGTTGTTGCTGTAATATTCAATTTTCAAATAGAAGGAAAAATATGCAAAGGAAAAAGAAACTTGAATATGAAAAAAAAAAAATTATGACTAATTAATTATATTAATTTTCTTCAGAATAACATGGGATAATATACTAATTTTATAATGATAAAAGGCCTCGATAAGAATAATCTCAATCAAATTTCACTAGAATAAGTTCTGTATTCATTCAATTTACTCTGTGCGTATGATTAATTCTCTTACATTATACTAATTTCAAAATAATTTTATAGGAGATTTATGAACATATCATGAAATTTTTATACAAATAATTAAATTTATCTATTTAGTTATATAATTTTTATATCCTTAAATTATATTGGATGCGTTGATTAGGCAAAATTTTTGATCCATATTCAAATTGAAAACTTCCTAAAATAAATGCAGGGCCATTTGAACTTTGATTTTAGCAAATTTATAATAAAATTGAGCATCTCAATACTACAAACTTTATGATGCCAAATGTTGGCCATTAAAAGAGAAGCATAATACTAAGCTAAGTGTTGCAGTGATGTGGATGCTCAGATGGATGAGTGGCTTTACTCTCTATCAATATAATGGGAATTATATTCTCATCAACATTGAATTTTCAAAAATTAAGCTAAGTGTTGCAGTGATGTGGATGCTCAGGTGGATGAGTGGCTTTACTCTTAGAGACATGATATGAAATGAGTAAATACATGAAAAGGTTGGAGTAGCTCCAGTGAAAGATAAGATTAGAGAGAGTCACCTTAGATGATTTGATCATATAAAACGAAGGCCTTCCGATGACCCGGTTAGGAAAGTGGATGTATTAGATTTGACTTATATTTAAAGGCAAAGGTAGAGCTAAAAAGACTTGGTTAGAAAATATTAGAAATGACCTTTCTTCATTATATTTAGATAAGAATTTGACTCTTAATAGGACACAATGGAGAAAAATATTTCATGTAGCCGACCCCACTTGGTGGAATAAATGCTTGTTGTTATTGTAATATTCAATTTTCAAATAGAAAAGAAAAATATACAAAGGAAAAGAAATTTGAATATTGAAAAAAATTTATGACTAATTAATTATATTAATTTTCTTCAAAATAACATGTGATAATATACTAATTTTATATTGATAAAGGCCTCGATAAGAATAATCTCAATCAAATATCACCAGAATAAATTCTATATTCATTCAATTTACCATGTGTGTATGATTAATTCTCTTACATTACACTAATTTCAAAATAATTTTATGGGAGATTTATGACATTTTTATAACAAATACTTAAATTTATTTATTTAATTATGTTGTGGGCTAGAATATATGCAACGATAGAGTTAGAGTCCTACGTCTTAGCCCCTGGAAAGGGGAAAATCATGGGGCTTTGCCCAGTTGAAAGTGATTCTACTAGAATTTGAGTAGGTTACAGCGGGCTAACTCATCCTTGAGGGCGATCAGATTACAAATGTCAAATGTAAAGGTGAAATCTCGTGACATGCAAGGATGCAAGTCTGGCGTCATTTGATGGTCTGACGGAATTTCGGGCCTAGAGTAGCAGTCCGACAGAAGTATGGGTGTCAGGTGGTGGTCCGATAGAGCTTAAGGTCTTAGGTGATGGTCTGGCAGAAGTGAGGGCCTCATGTGGTGGTCCAACGCATGGCCTAAAGTGGTGGTCCAACATAAGTGAGGGCCTCAGGGCCTCAGGTGGTGGTCCGACTGAAGTGAGGGCCTCAGGTGGTGGTCCGGCAGAGCTCAGGATCTCAAGTGGTGGTTGGGTAGAAGCGAGGGCCTCATTTGGAGGTCTGACGAAGCTCAAGGCCTCCAGTGATGGTTCGATGAAGTGAGGGCCTCAAATGGTTGTCCGGCGAAGCTCAGGACCTCAAGTGGTGGTTCGACATAGCTCATGACCTAAAGTGGTTGTCCGGCAGAAGTGAGGGCCTCAGGTGGTGGTCTGGCGGAGCTCAAGGCCTTAGGTGGTGGTCTGGCGTAACTCCGGCGGTGGCCGAGGAGGCAAGAGCGATCTCCGATCTCTCTCTTTTCTCCTTAGGCTTATCCCTTTTTAAGAGGGATTAGGGATCTATTTATATATTTCTTAGAGTGGCATGACCTGCAAATAGGAGGAGGACCAAGGGCAAAATTGGGAGTGATTTGGATGGACGACTGATGTTGAATGTCTTGATTGTGGACCGTTCGTTAGACATTTGAAGGTCTTAATGATGTCAAAATTCTACGATCTTGGGCTCATTGGATTCGTCTCGTTCAGACACTCAATTCGACTATAATCATGCTATGTTTGGAAGTCGTTTGGTAATCTAAAGTGTGGTTTGAACCTTTCAACAATGCTTTGGATCCTTGATCTGGAGCCATTTGGGCTCGAATTGAGTCAATTTTGGTGTCATTGGGTTCATATTTTCAAGATGTTCAGTTTGACTGTAAGTTTGCTAAAATCGTAGTTCGGATGGTCCCAATTTTAATTTCTGAAGTTTCCAACTTGATTTTCCATCAAGATTCATGCCCGACCAAGATAATTTTTTGATGATGTACCAAGTTATATAATATTTATATCTTTAAATTATATTGGATACGTTGATTAGGTACTATAACGACCCAAGATCCGTGTAGTGAAAGGATTCATCTGATCGATCATTCATTTTCTTTTTCTTTTTTCTCCATCCGTTATTCGTATCAATACACACATCCAGAGCCAGAGATAATTACATTACAGAAAGAAACAGCAGCGGATACTAATTCACATATAGTACAACATAGCACAGACAAAAAGCGTCCAAGAGGTCATATACAATAGCCGCACCGGCTACAAAAGAAAGCCTACCAAGGCTACAAAACAAAGAGCGACAGAACTCGACGGAAAGATCTTCAGACTGGAGGCCCTGCACCTGAAATATTAACCACATATAATGAGCTTACAAAGCCCAGCAGGTCACCAAAGCCTACAACTGAAATCAAAGCACAATCGAAACAATATGCAGGTCAATTGAGTCAAGTCAGCTATGATCAATGAATCTATGCAGGTACGGAAATCAAATCAAAGCGAATCAATCAATACTCAATAGTCAATACGGCGGCAAAAGAAACGTCACAGCTATCAAATCAATAAGTGCTTTCAGTCAATATCTATTCATCGTAGCCCTTTTCTGTCAATCAATATTATCAGTTCAATCAGTCATGTCGTCTAGTCAATCTATTGCATCAATTAAATTCATATTATAGTCAATAGCAATATATAATATCAAATCAATCAATAACTGACTCGTGTCAGAGTACACAACAGTCAATCCAATTATGTTCAATGAAACTTTTCTACCTCGACTATTTATGGAATTACAGAAATAAATTAATTCATTGCATGGTTTGAGAAAGGTAAGGAATCCCCCCAGCCCAAAAAAAAAAAAACAGATTAACCCAATTAATAACACGCTATTATTTCACCCCTTCATCCTCACAATCAAAAGTACCGTAAACTAATTGCAATCCCAAACCACGGACCTACAAATTCGATAGGGTCAACAGAGAGAAACAGTAGAGAAGAACGAAGAGGTATAAAAGATAACCGGAGCTTTCAATGGCGCAACGCCAGATCATCATCATTCTCTTGGCACAAGAGAGAACGAATCAGGCAGCGATTAGAGCTGGAAACAGAAATGGATATCTCCAGCATTTTAAGAAACTTATGGAGAAATAAAGAAGTAACTCAGTAGTGTAGC